GATGTATTTTAATGTGTGATATGATGAGGCTGTTGACGAACTGTGATTGTTTTTTAAATTAATGAAATTTTTTTTTAACTATGTTATTTTAGAAAAACTGATGACGGTGGAAAAATACACCGAAACGTATTTTAATTGATAAATAGAGACAATAAATGACTGCAACCCAGGAATTAATTTTGATCATTGATAATGCCAGCAAAATGTGTAACAAAAAAATAAAGAATTAACTTTTGAGCCTTAAAACCCAGATACAATCAACTTACTGTTCCAAAAACTTCCGAAACCTCCAAAAATTGAGATCAACGAAAATGTGAAAGACAAAGTAAAACCCTTAGAATATAATAAAATAAACTTGGAAAACATTCATGGGGATCCAAGTAATGCCAAAAAATGTGTAACTCATGAGTTAAAAGAATTTGATGTAATCAATACAAGTTTGGGTATTTATTGCACTTGTAATATAGTGCTTATTTAAAAAAAAAACAGAAAAACATTATAAAGATGGAACCCTTCGAAAATTTAAGACCTCAATTTTCTCGGACTTAATGAGGGAGGAATTATATGATCACTTATGAAGACCAATGTATATTTTAGAGCATAACTGTCGATGCAGTATTTTATAAACAGCGCCTTCGACACCAACAAATCAGTCTTAACTGAGGTCTTAACCCAAATATCCCTTGCATTCTATTGATAGCACGCCTTTTTTTAAATATTTGGATGCGCTTCATGTGGTAAATTCATAGCAACTTGCTGATAACTTTTTCTGGCAAAAATATTTGTTTGGCCCAAACTAACACAGCATCAAGTTAAACACCTTGATAGACATTCGTGTGTTTTTTTGCACGTCGCAATGCCTCAAGAACAGGTGGGTTATGCCAATTATAAATTCGAGAGTGTTTATCGAGTATTTTTGCTGTTGTAAAATCTTTTGGTTCGTAAAATAAAAGTTTTTTTAAAAACAATTGTTTTCCATAATCAAATCCTAGAGCTACGGTACGTTTTTTTTTCAAATATTGCCTACATATATTTAATGAATAACTGATGCACTTTACGCCTTTTTGAAACATATAGTGTTTCTCAGTAAAATTCAGTTAAACATTCAATGTAGGTACTTCCTACGTATTGAATCCTGATCAAAATGTTACATTAAAATCCAAATCATTTAAAAGGTCATTTGCTCTGCAAATGCTATTAAAAGCAGCCATTTAATATGCTATAGGCTTAAATGCAAATAAAAGTTATAAAATGGAATAATGCAAGTTAATTGAAACACGCCCTGGAAAGTATTGTCGCACAAGTTAATGCACCTTTGAGTCCAGGCTTTAGACTATCAGAATTTACCCTATGATGTACAGAATGGCTCATCATATTGAAATTTTCATCTCGCAATAAAACCAATGAATAATTCGATTTTTTTTTGCTTTTTTGTAACTGTTTTTTTTCTCACTTTGTATTCCATATTTTTGTTTTTGGATTGTAGACCATTCGTAATCCTTAATTTGGCGGAAAAAGAAACAAACTGACTTTTGAGTTCTTTGAAGAATTTGGGGTTTTGGTCATTTCGGGTGAATGTTACGATATATTTTAATTAAACTTTATGTGGATTTGTTCCTAAGTAAGACTCATTTTATGATAAAACCATCGCGTTCTTTCGCTTTGAGAAAGTGGTAAATGCTCGAGTATAAAATAACTCCCAGAACTTGGTTCTGAGGTCCATTAATTTTGTTGAAGATTTCATCCGCTTTCGAGATTTTCCGTCCAGCTTACATCATGCAATAGACAACTTCAACACTTATTATTTTTATTTTTTTTACAAATTTTTATTATAAACTAGCTAGCAGTTTCTCGCATAAACTAATTAACTTTTTTTACTTACTATCTGTATACTTTCTCCTTAATTTTTTAAAATTATTCTATTAGAGAAGTTTTTCCAAGTTTTCATACAAGCATTTTGGTACGCATTGTTCATCACTTCTTTTCATTATTCTTAATCGTTTCCGCTTTTATTCATTTAAAACCTTCATTTTCTTAGATGCAACATGGATGTTGATTTGGAATCTGGAAATTAAAAAATATATATTCTTCAAAAAAATTCCAAAAAATGTTTACTACCACATTTAGATTTCCTGTAAACTGTGTTCCATCAATACATGAAAGTTGGTCGGCTCATGCAGCAAGGCGCAAAACCTAATATTATTCTCTATTGTCGTAGGAAGCAGAATGCCAAAAATCAGCAATGGATATCAAGTATTCAACAGACACAAAAATTGAAGATAACTCAAGAATGTACAAACTCCAAAAAGCCAATTTTGACCAAGAAATCAACACGGCAGTAAGTACACTAACTGCGCCATAATACCTACAGTAAATCATTCTTATAATGTTTTAATGTTTCAGAAAGCACAAGCTCAGCTGGCCTACGAGCTGCAAGCCGCCAAGATTCGACAAAAAATCCGAAACGAAGAAATCCAAATCGAAGTTGTAGAACGAAAAAAACAAATTGAAATCGAAACACAGGAGGTACAAAGAAAAGAAAGGGAATTGAATGCCACTGTTAAATTGCCCGCAGAAGCCGAGAGCTACAAGATGCAAATGTTGGCTGAAGGAAAGGGGTAAGAGTTGAGGCGCTACTTGGTATTTTCGTTAGTTCAATGAAATCATATTTTCAGTACTCAAACAGTCCAAAAAGCTCAAGCTGACAGCGAGAAAGTTAAGATGATTGGTACAGCCCAAGCTTCAGCAATTGCAAGCATTGGCAAAGCTGATGCGGAAAGAATGCGAATGAAGGCTGCTGTTTATAAACAGTATGGGGATGCCGCCATAATGAGTATGGTATTGGATGCCTTACCTAAGGTAAAATCCCTATCTTTAAATTTTCAGTTATATAAAACCGTGTATTCTTTAACGTGTTGGAAATCAATTCTAAAAAAATTTGAACTTTTGATGACAAGTTTTAAATTCTTGCAATTGAATTTCTTTAGTTTAAAAATATATTCCAGTTTTCAGTCCATTTATGTGTTTTAAATAATTGCAATTTTGTAAAATTTAATTTGGTGACATAGTAAAAGAAAAATTGAATTGAAATTGAAATTAATCATTGGTTGCAGATTGCTGCCGAAGTAGCGGCCCCATTAGCAAAAACCGAAGAAATAGTCCTCATTGGAGGACAAGACAATACGACTGGTGAAATCGCCCGATTGGTAAGCCAAATACCTCCAACTGTTAATGCCCTCACCGGTATCGACTTATCGAAAGTATTAGGCAAAATACCTGGAGCAACTCAAAACACCGTTGCCCCAGTAAAATGAGATTGTATGTAAGTTTGGAATAATACTAGGAATGTTTGTGTGTGTGTATACGAGTCTGTTTAACACAATTGCAAATATTCGTAGTATGAACGGTGTTGCGTTATGGTTGTTTCATCCATTAAAACATGTTAGATGCAAATGATTTTCTTCAAACAAGAAAGGTAAACTTTTAGATTATTTTTTTTCTAACGTGGATTCTTAATACGTGAAACAACCACAGCCGGTAATGTACAATGATTTCAGTGATTACCACGATGTGACTTCAAAACCAGTGAAAACCTGGAATATTTTTGTTAAAATGTCCGGAACTGTTTTCAAACTCCGCTTAGTAGCTTTGTGCAGTCGCCATATAATTTAATGCAATGCATCACAAATGAATTTTATAAAATAACATCAGCACGAAGTAACGTAAAAATCTATACAGTATCTGCATTTAAACACCAAAAACGCCTGAAAACACTGCAGATCTTTGTTGATTCTCGAATGGTGTTCATTGTAAAATTGATTTTAAACTTATTTAGAGTTTCTGCCTAGATGTGTATCTATTCTAGCAGCTTAAAAAGTAGCAATTTATATTTTTCTACTCCCTAAATCCCAGTTATTTTTCTCGAATGTGTAATTCAGTTACACTATTAGCATTTGTGTGTTACCTCCTTACTTGCGTGTATTAAATAAGGAATGAGAAGTTATGATGCATTCCAACATGATATTAATTAAAATAGTATCATAGATATCTTTTTGTGTATGTTTATCTTAAATTGTATTTGTATTTGAATACTGTGGATATTATTTCTATGAAGTCAAAGTGGATTAGAGTAGTGAATCTTTATTATTGTTGTTTCAAAGGACGGTTTACGTAATCATAATAGCGTCAACAGTTACAAAATATAAAATCGACCAATCTTTCAAAGCCTTCGTTCCAATTGTCTGTCGTTAATACTCATACCATTTCCTAGTTTAGTTTGTCAAAATCAACATTTTGTTCTCAGTAGAATATGTATATTTTGTTGAAAAATAGATTGATGCAATGACGAAAACTTGCACTTAACGTTTTTCGATGGTAGCTACCTATTTAATTTCGGAAAAAAGCTAATTATAAAACGTCTTTATCACCGTATCGAAAGTGCGTAAAATATATGTTCAATTTTAAATTGATAGAATCAACTGAACCTCGCACGCCTGCAAATATAAGGAAACGTCAAGATTAGATAATGACGATGCGCTCTTTATTGGTATAAATTTAACGCTTAAAAACGGGAGAAAGCATGTTTCAAAAAGTTTCAACAAATCTTTCAGAATTTTATTATTAATATATATCATACATTCAAACACTTACACAGTGTGTGTAACGTGAGCCTCGTGACGTCGTTCTGAAATTTTTAGAGCTGTTCATTAAATATATATTAAATAGTTACAATAGAAGAGACGAACTGTTCCATCAATATACATATGATTCCACTAATACAATGTCTTTTAATCAAAATGGAGCCTAGTTTGAAGATTTATGGACTCAGGCAATTGCGAAAATTGCTTATAAAACACATAAATTATTGATAAATTGTAAAATTTTACTATTGTTAACCTGGATACTATTTATTAACATTTTTGACCAAAAGATATTTAAAATATTAAGAGGACAATGACTAGTAAATAGTGTATCTGGTTTTCATTAATATGTTTACATCTTCGTATTTTGTAAGCAGTTTTCTTAGATGTCGGTCGCAATAATTCTTTCTACCAACTAACCTCATTTTAATTGATTTATTAAAAATGTAAAGCTGTCATGTGTTATAAGCAACATTGTATCAGTGCAGTTCACATGATAATTTAATAGTGCTCTCTTGCCATTCAGTTTGATACCAATAACTGCTTCTAATATATTCTCCTTCACTGTCAAGTTGTTTAAAAATATTAATTTAAAATTAACAGACATAAATATATTAAATAGGTCATTAATACGATTCGGACAATTATTATAATTTAAATGCATAGGAGCGGTCGTTAGAAAATGATTTCATTTCATTGATGCACACAAAAACTGGGACCAAAACAAACAAAACAATATATTCGTTTTAAAATATATGGTGTGCGATACAACAAAGCTTGTCTATGTATATTTCGTCACTCTATAACGAGGAAAGCTGTTAATCACAAAATGCGATTTGTTACCTGAGGGGGAGTCGAGGTCGAAAAGAAAATTCTCTGATGGATCAGGGGTGTGATCTGGTAGAATATCCAAATTAAAACAAAAACTTTACATATATTTATTGCAGCTATATTAATGTGTCAAGCGGAATAGAGGAGAGTGGTTATATTTTCTCCTTTTGCAAGTAAGTCTCTTCTCACTCCCGACTCTCCCTACCGCACAACGTCACTAGTACACTGCTTCACCCACTCATTTTTTTTTCGATAATGGCGGATGCTGGGCGAACGTCAGTCTTACTTATTCGCGCGTTTCGGATAACTTTTCCTCACGAGGTTTTGCGCCGCCAAATATTGCTGCATTCCTCGTTGACTCTGCAAGACTGTTTACAGGGTCCTTCACTGTCCGAGGTAGCAACTTCAGCCGTTGTCTACCGCTTGTATCTATAAAGCAAAAATAAAGATCATTAATAACAGGCAACAGTTAACTAATTTTTTTAGTTTACTCAAGGTAAGCTCCTTTGATTATTTCCTTTTCTTTTTACTCCTTAGCTCTTAACTATTTTCAAAAACCAACTACACCGAATAAAACATTTGCCTTGGGGGCAATTGATTATTGGCTCCATCAGAAATAKAAATKTTCGTTTTTATGTAATCACARGAAATAAGCCCAATTTATCTGTTTCAAATAATTTTGGCGGTCCAATTTTAATATGTTCTCTGTCTGTTCACAGTTTTGTCGCGATTACGTTTTGCTTGATAAACAAGTGTATAAAATTCTATGAAACGCACTATTTTAAACTTATAGGGTGCTACCTTATAAGAATATTAGTTCTCTTCACGTGATCTTTACGCGAAGAGAAATAATATCCGGTTACTTAGCTGAATAACATTTTCAGATTGTGAACCCTGTATATCACATGTTTTAATAACATTTTGCGATCATCCCTAAAATAATGTTTTGTKTTCACCTGRGTGGCAAAGTGCGACAAGGAAAACTATTTTCAAAGCCTTTTTATTCGGTATTCYGCCTAAAAATGTGATRTCTTGAAAACCTCACTTATCTTGAGTTATGGAATTGATAACGAGTGCTCTTAAWAGAATGAATTCTGTATAAAAAAAACTTAATCAAGAAATGATCATCACCACCTACGATAAGASAATMCTAGGCACATAAAGCAAGAGAAAATTCTAATTAAAAATGGAATTAATTTTAAACGAACTTTCGRCAGTTCGATCTGCTACAATTTTCAAAATAYGTAAAAAAGAGTATATAAATAGTCAAATACAGGATTGTATCTGTAGAATATTTCGTTTCTTGCAAATTGCCCAAGTTTTTTTGACTTGGAGTAAAATCTCATTGTTAGAAGATAAAGATAATTAAAATTAATTAAAACATTTTTATACAATAATTCTTTATTTGGGTGTAGGTTTTCCGGACTATGTATGGAAAGATGTACTTAAAGAGAGAGAGAGATAGTGAGCATGAATAAGTTATAGTAAATATGAATGTGATACAATTAATGAATTATGTCGACTTATTAAAATTTATGCAGTTTGTTTAATTTTACGTTCATTTGTCGAAGTTGATTTCATTGGATTGTTTGTAACAAATATTAACCGCATGTTAAGAAATATGTGATCTATGAAGTCATGTTTTTTATATGATTGATCGTCATTAATGTGTTCATATAACAGTGAATGCTTGATGGTCGGTCTTGAGGTTTATTGTTGTCCTGTTATTTATTATTTGATACGGAAAATGTGAAGACCATTAAATAAAAGAATTGAAGAACATCGCACATATATTAAAAGAAAGCAGAATTTTAAAGGTCACGTAATTGTTAACATGTGATTGATAATTGTCACAAAATTTAATAGCAACGTCTGCAGATGCATAAACAACAAGCAAAGAATGAACAAAAAAGACAAATCAACGAAAGTTTATTTTATTGAGCTAAAATTTGGGTCTTATGTTCGTTTTAGTTAAGTTATAAATGGCAGCACAATCTAAAAGCTGAAATAGACCAAATAAACTTTAATGAATGTAACATAATATAATTATTAAGCAGCTCAATTAAATATCTGATTAACTTATTAATGATATTTACGTCAGTCAAAAATCTTTGACAATTTGCAAAACGCGAAATATCTACAAAAGAATATTTTACAGATTTGTAGCCTACAATCTTTACGTGAAAATTTACTAATACTCTGTTAAGTATTCTTTAAAACTAATTTTGAGATTTGCGATTGAATTGTAAGTACTTATCTAAACCATTTTCAGTTATAATGAGAATTTCCTCTTACAGCAAAAGCGGTAGCAGTCGTTTTTTTATTATTTAGATTAAACATATAGAATTTGTACTATACAGTGAAATATCCAACTAAAAGGTTTTAAAAATAGTAATCCGCTTCAATCATACAACTTATCTAAAAAAAGTGATGGTTTCCTTAATTTTTCCCAATTAATTTCGTAAGCCACGTTTATGATTTCCTTACAGTATTACATATAATTATCGACTAGTGTCTACTTTATGATATTAACTACTTTATTTTAAATGCTTAATGTAATTTGGATGCTGAATAAAATTGTGTTTTTCGTCGTTTGTTCTTGTTTTTTTTAAATTAGTGTATGTATCTGGTTTTATCATAGACAGAGAATGAACACGTATTTCACATGCGATCATTGCCGCAACTAACTTTCAAAAAATGTTAATAATCGGAATGCAAGAAGGTTTTGTGTTGAGTCGAACAGCTAGAAAAATCTTCTTGACTTTTCGCAAGCACGAGTGGTTTGCACCTTTAAAGGTGTTTATCTCGAAATCTACGAAAATTTTTTCGAGCGAATCGCTTCTAAAGATACAAGTGAGCAACATTATTTTCCCTAACTCGAAAGGCACAAAAACTCAGTTTCAATTGAACAATTGATATTATTAATGATAATAGAAAATATCTCGGCAGCCTTCCTGAAAAATTCACAGATTTGCGGTCGATGACTTATTAGACGTTTACGAAGATCGCGATGTCCGAGCTTTCTGCAAATGTTTACAACGTAATCGGCTCTGCTCTACAGATATAAAATATTTAACAAATGTGACGTTGCCGCTTTATATATACGACAGGCTGTATGTGTATTATTGCATATGTCGATTGAGCTGAAGATCTGATTAATTATGTTTGACCCTTTGTGTCTAAAGCGGTTTTCAAAATAACAAGTAATATAAATTTTTTATCATAACATAGCCCCAATAAATCAGTTTTTCAGACTCAAATACATAAATTTCTTCTTCATTATACAGGGTGTCTTGAAATTAGTGTTTATGTTTATTGGAGTTCCGTTGAAAAAATGTAAATGAAGACGTAGTTATCTTAGCCGAAACATCACTAATTTCCAAACCCCTCTTGATTGAGAGATTGAGACTATGTTATGTTAAGAACATGAAATTAGTTTTTACTTCCAAAACAGCGTAGATACGTCTACGAATCATACATATAAAATTATATAATATATAAACAGCAACGTCACACAACTGAAAGGATCAAATTTTCATTCTCCGTTAACGTGTATGTAATTCGCCATTGGCCGTAATTTACACTGTGTATTAAAATATATCTAACCACAAAATATTAGACAATTTTGTGTTATCTTTGTCCGAAAATCCTTACTTTGTAATCGTACGCAAAATGCGAGATTGGTAGACAGAAACAATATGTATTTACGTAATGTTAATGAGAAAAACGCCATTGCAGGTTTCCTCAATTTATGATCTAGTTTTTGGCGATTAGCTCGGTCATTTCTAAAAATACTTTTTTTACTATGTTCTCTATATTTGCCGAATACTCCCAAAGAAATGACGCTAATTTTGCAAAAACTTCTTTAAAAGACGTGCAGTTGCATTATTAGAACACAGGCCATATCAAGTTCCGAAAGAAATCAACTAACGAGAAGCAGTATCTTTGGAAGGACACAACGATTCAAGATGAATAGGTAAGTCTTCCAATATATGACAGAATACGTTATGCGCTAATTATTCCCATACATTTCCGAAGTTTTCCCAGTACTTTGGTATTGCATCTTACTTTACGCGAGCAAACAAAATCTTGTTCAATAATTTTTCGGTAACAACAAAATTAATCCTAAAACGCCTAAAGATTCGATTGTGATTAATAATACCGGCCGTTAGAGATCCAAAATAAATAGATCCGTTTTCAGCAAACCGCCTATCGTATCTTAAACTATTTTGCAAACTTACCTGGTGCTGCTGCAGGTACATCATCGTTAAATCGTCTTTCATTTCCCGCTCCAGGAGGCCCTCTTCTAGGGGCCGCTTGAGCGCCACCAAAGTTATTGGGACCTCCCGTTCTTGGAACGCCGCCCCTTTGCCCGCCACCCCATGAATCTTCGCCGGCAAAGTTTCCATAGTTTCCTCTGTGAGCGCCACGTTGTCCATCCTGCCGATAAACAACAGGTCGAACTTTATGTATTACTTTATGGTCTGTATCGGAATCATTCGTAAATCACTGATTTAATGCAAATAAACGATGTATGCAAGCCAACATTTCCATTTCGATCCTTTAAATTAATTAGTGAAACCAACCTGAAAACCTCCTGGACCTCCTCGTGATGGTCCTCCACCTCCTCTTCTGTCCATGTCCGAGTCATTGTAGCCGCCATGCTGAGGTCGATCGCCACCTCGAAAACCTCCGCTTCTAATGCGGTTTCCACCACCTCGACCACCTCTGTCAAATCCTCCGCCTCGGTCATTTCTCTTACCTGCAATAAAAAAGAAATATAAGCACTTATACGGAAACGAACACGAATAATAAACATTTTTTTAGAGCGGCCTTAATTAATCCATTGATATCTTAAAAACGAGTTTTATAAAAGAATGGACGAATTAGATTTGACATTCTAGCATCTACATGCTGTCTATGCCTTCACTTGATGTATTCCTTCCTGATCTATACAGCAAATATGAACGCTAAATATTTATGCTAACCTTCTGCTACGTCGACTTTAATAATGTTTCCTTCTACTTCGATTTCTCCATTCATATTAACAGCAGATTCCAAATCCTGAAGAGTGTCGAATTCAACATAGCAAAAACCTTTAAACCTGTCGGTTTCCTTGTCCATAACCAAGCGCGTGTTCTTGATATGCAAATCATTGAAAATGCGATTGACATCGCCCTGCACTATTCCTGTAGGTAAGTTGCCTACATAAGCGGTGAATGGTGGTTCAGTTGGCAATGGTCTTCTGCCTCCTCGGCGACCGCCGCCTCCATAATCCCTGAAAAAGAATAATACACGTAAGTACATGAAGTTACAAAGTTTATTTGAATATTGACTATTATGTTAACGATTTTGCAGCAATTGACTTATATATGTAAGAGATGTTCATGACGACCAGTTTTTAATGCGGATTCACAAATTTTTGTTCGGTAGCATCCGATTTGGTGCCAAATTGTAGGTCAAACGGCAAAATCACGTGAAGGCTGGATAAGTTATGTTTTCCTATGCTTCAAACTGCTCAACAGCAATATCATAATTTCGATCCAACATGACGAAATGTAAGGTCCATGAGAATACATTTTTTATAAGGCAGTTTATTGATGATAGAAACATATAAATGCGTGCAATAGATGCGATCAAAATATCAAAATAGTTAATATTTCAAGATTTGTATGTGTGGTGGGTGTAAGTAACAAATCTTATGGCGAGCGAGCCGCGAAACAGTTACAAAACACGGATTTTTTCTAATAAATTACCGTTCCAAACATCGATCGTGAATCTACTTGTCAAACTTTAACTTCAATAAACTAAGTGATTGTCTTACGAATAAAACGTGAAAAACTGTAGTGCAGTGCTTGAAGATAAGGAAACCAAAAATTTCATACGCAGATAAGCACATATGATGTAACCTGCAATTAAATCCCAATAAAATTGTCCTATTATGTTTAATGGCTTTTATTTTCCCCTTGTATTTAATCGATTTCTCAGTTAAGTTTCTTCTAGCTATCCTCGTACATTTTGTCGCAAATTGGGGCTGGCAATAGGCAGAAATGATGGTCTTTAAATCAGCTTTGAAACAATGGCTTATTAACAAGTAACTTTATTATGACGGATTCCAACATGATATTATCCAATACGACTATAGAAAATAAACCTAGCAATCAAATATCTTCTCTTAATTCTTAGACTAAATTAACTTTGCAAGAAGGAACATTTAATTATTTGAAAATACATTAAATGTTCAATCAATACAACAAAATGTTTCATTTGATGATCACCTGTTTTGGGTTTGAAAATAGATCTTGTATGAGAATCACTTAAAACAAATTAGTAACACATTGTTCCAAATCCATTATTTCCCCATTGAAGATTTAATTAATAAGATATGATAATTTACAAAGTCGGCGAAAATGTTAAGCTACTGTTCCTATAATTTAATTCCAAGCCTAAGATGAAACCAAGAAAAAGCGATCTTCTACTCATACACCTGGCACACATGCTTAAAATTTCCTTATGGGGAAATATGACGCGTTTCTGGTTTCGATGAAAATAATTCAAATTAGATGATAATACCTTTAAGTCATTGCCTTCAATTACAAAGATGCCTGCCTTTTATCTGTGTTGATATATACTTTAAAATAGATATCGATACGTTTAAAACCCCATTAAAATATTAGGTCTTTCTGACAATTACCAAAGGTCAATTTTGCTAAGGGCCGTTTTCGGAATTTTAGCATTGCACATCCAAGTTTTCTTATGGTTATTGGATATGCCCATATTTGAAATTCCTTTAATACTATTTACGTTTTCTGATCATTAGCATACCACCGATTGTAGTTCAATAAGTTCTAATTTAATGGAAAATAAATAAAACGCAAGAAGCAAAGTGAGCCATAAAAACACTATTAATAGTTGGGACACAGCCAGTAAATTTGTGTCGAAATAATACTTAGTCACTTTTTTCTTCGACAGTTTCTCTACGATTTAGTCAAGGTAGAAGAGCAGTTGATGCAAATATCTTCGAAGCAAGTGGCACATGAAAAACGAAACCAGTACGTTGGATTAAAAATATGAAGAAACTGTTCACAAGGAATCACCGAGAATAAAACTAATAAATTATTGTATGCAGTTATTTCAGGAACACTCCGAGTCATCGAAAGCTTTCAGCCAACAAAATCATCAGGATTCTCATAATGATCGATTTCATAAATAAAATGAGATTTTTTACAAAAAATAATTCGCTTAGAAACCAACCACTCAACTAATATACACTTATGCCATTACATATTGTATGTATGCTTGTGTATTTACTCAAATACACATAATAATAACAGGATTGTAACTGAAATTGTTCATTTTTTAGTTGATTGTAGATGTTAAGAATGTTACGCTTCACTGGAGCCAAATAGACTTGAAATATTTGTTCAGTAAAGAAACAACTTTCCTCTTAGATGGTTGCTATAATTAGAATCGAATTATATAGATCAAAATTTTCTTTACAAATGAACACGGAACATATGAGAAGGGCAAGTTTTTATGGAGCATAGTTTAGGAAATAAATGTAAAAGGAAACCAGATCAAAATATGTAGAAATCCGGGCGATTGAGTAAAGTACTTTAAAATCTTGTTTCGCTTCGTTTTTAAGGGACGCCAAAAGTGAGTTGCATGTTCGGAAATTTACTAGAACAGTGAACGCTCTTGTATCATAAATATATATCATATGTAAATATCATTGACTTTTAAATCAGATATTCTGAAACGTCAAAAAATATAAATAAACTAAAATATGTATATTTTTTCCCTTACAATGAAATCAGTAGCGACTAAAGTGGTCAATCTCGAGCTATTTGGCAGTGACGTCATATTGAAATTTAGTCATATCCGAGATTGACTCGAAATATTTTCTTTCTACTATGTGGTTGCCAGCTTGAGCGTTTCTTCACAGTTATTTGAAAATATGTATTTTTATTGAATCAGATATTATTGTTAGAGCACGGTTTTATAGCAACTTTTTGAAAATTCTCTTTATTTTTCACTGTTGATAAATTAAACATTCGTCCTTAATATTGCTTGATGTAAGTGTACATTTTAATTTTGTTTGTTAATTTTGTTTTTCTCTATAAAATACCAATTCACTTTTTACAAGAGCAGCAGACAAAAAGGCATTTAAATGATTTAAAGTTGCAACGTGAGGTTAAACTTGCATAATGTAAACAATTAAATGGGAAAATAAATCACTTTCTTCAGTTTTGCTATTAATTTGCCTCATTTGAACAGTGAATTGGCGCTAACTGTAAGCGACAAAGTGTGTTATTTTCGTCGTGATAAACTGCAGTCAAATTATAAAGGAAATAGAAAACAACAAGACTCACAAGACCTAAGCGTTGGTAGTAAAATTATGAGCAGAATGAACATTTGTTCGCCCTCACCATTTTATTGCTTATGCATTGATAGCAAATAACAGATACAAGAACATAGAAAATGCATTTTTTAAATGGAAATGATAAATTGGAAAAATTGGCAAAACTGCCAGCACTCGCCAATAAATTAAATCTTCAATAATATTAATATTCCTCCGAACTTCCGCGAATTGTAACATTTTAATGAAAGACATACGTTAAATTACAGCAAATTTCCATCTCGCTCGGTGGACAAGAGAAAAAGAACGATAATTATTGCATCACTACCAAAACGCTTCACACCTACTGGAGTTGCTCAAATACACACAATTCAAAATACAAAAAAAAACTTTGATAGATTAGCAAGGGATGAAAATTATAAAGTGACAGTGACTGAAAATGTTAAATTTTAAGTCGATCACAAGTGTTAAGTTAAGAATGCTTAACGAGAACAAGAAAAAACACAATTTTTCTATAATCAACCTTACAATAACAGAAATTTTAAAGCGAACGCTTGATAAATGTGCTAGATAAATTTAAAAACCTATAAGGGATTCGATAACTATCCATGCGTTTCATTATACGTTGAGATATTTTTAAGTTCTGTTAATTTTAGTGTTATCTGTTTTTTATTTTCGCTAACTCTTTAATAAGTAAATAATTATTCAAGATCTACTCATTTATTTATCAGTGTGCTAAGTATATACATAGTATACTAGTAGAATGTATATACTATGGTATGTACTTACTACTCTCAGTCAGTAGCAATAGAGATTTAGGTCAAAATACCTTATATGGCCCATCATAGGGGCAGTTACCTTAATGCGTTTTAATAATAGTAATAAAAATACAATTGCCACAACAGTTACAGAAACAAACTTAAGTTAAATTAAACTAAGTGTTTTGTTAAAATTTCTGGGTTTACGAAGTTCATTATAGAAAGTTTGGAAAGCCCTGTTGTACATACTGAGTTTTTATCACAGAGTTCACCAATTTGTCTTATCGGTTATAGTTATATTAGAGGAAGATTTTACGAAATGGATGTTGGCTGATTCAACGTATCATTCAGTGTTCGATCAGAGTTCTAGAGTAGAATATTTATTACCTGACCCGTTAACAAAGTTAAATAATGGTTACAGGAGAATAACTGTTGGCGTGACGTTTCGACCGACCATGGCTAATGGGTAGCCCAGACACATTAAATGCCTGAAAACTGAAATTAAGTTACCAACAAGTATAATTTTATTTCTTTTCGATCAGAATAGGACAGTTAATAATATTTTCCTACATTAATTCCAGATATAAATCTTGCTTTATATTAAGCAAGTAGTTTACTTTTGCAGCATCAATTAAGAATACCAAACGCCGCTTTGAACATATTGAGTGTTTCTTATGCAATGGGATAAAATATACCTAGTATTCCACCAAAGCTCATGTCATTCATTTAGGCAATGATAATCGGACATTTTTCTATCAGTCAAAAAATTAAAAATGTACAAATCTACAATTATGCATGTACAAGCCCTTGCCACAACATGTTTACAGCCATCCAAAAAACCGTCCCTCGGCGTAGGTACTTGGGCAAAGGCTAAGCGTAAGCTGGAATTTACACATTTACGTAGACTATGCATTAATTATATAATAATAATGCGATCCAACGAGAAACAAAACCAAACTCCCGGAGATCTTCAAGGACTATTTTTTTACATAGAAAAATGCTTGGAAAAAATAAGCATGTGCCCTATAGAAGCTTTGAGTTAATGAGTTTGTAACATAAAACCTGGTGATGAGAGCTAGATTTCAATATTATACAGCATGTGGCTTACCCACGACCTAATTAATGCATTCTGCAGCCACTGCGACGGTTAATTGTTATTAAAAATAAAGAAAATTACCTATTGTCGTCGAACGAACTTCTACCGGCCATGTTTTACACGGGACTTGCGTGTGCGCAAATGGATGTCAAGCGGCGGTGCAAAAATGGCCAACAAATCATTTCATTTTGGATGATGCGGTTCTTTCACTGAATAATTTAGATCACTTGTTCAATATTAACTTAGCAAAATTTGCTCAGAGGATGATCTTATTCAGATTTAATCAAAAAGCGTTAACACCATAAGTTGTCAAGCTGGAAACTTCGATGACAAAAAGGAAGTGAACTAGTCGGAACCAGGGATATCTCTTCCTTGTTTATGATCTACAGTTTTCCATGGTCGCCATATGCAAGGTTGCCGCCTGTTAATTTAGTTCCAATACTTGGCCGAATAATCTAAGCAACTAAGAGCATTCAATTAAAAAATGATTAAGCTTTCCGTTTGTTCACCCGATATTTAACTGGGTTAAAATATTGCTGCGCCGTGAGTGACTATTTAAAATTTAAGCTTTAGAAGAATGAAGCCGAAAATTTTCAATTCGTTATTAATCGCCCAATCTGACAATGCGCCTTCACTATGGCATTTATTGGTAACCCTGTTCTAGGAACATTTATGTTTCTTAAATATTGTGTCTACTGCGCTAGCAGCAATATGCGCCCACACATATTTGTTCGTTGGAACTTGATTAATGCACTTGAAAATGGGCGAAGTATTTTTCGAATTTCACTATTTGTGTTTAGCATTTTTGACAAATAACGTAATACCTTTTGTTGATTTTGGGGAAACCATGGAAATATTTTATATCAGAATTTTAACACGCCCTTTCATCATTTAAAAAACTTCACCTAAAGTTGGAAATACCCAGCGTAAATACAGAATGGTTTGGTGAACTGGTGGAATTTTAAATTTAAATTTATTTTATTATTTTTTCCGTTCGCAAGTGCTCAGTGCGGACACAATAACATTACAACCAAATCAATCGAAAACATTGCAAACCACAAAATATCCCCCCTAGGGGTATGATCTGTGTTGCAAACGGTTGGCTAACCTGATCGTGACCGATGTCAAAACTCACCAATTACGAATCTCTAATCTAAATCGCCAGTTGTCAATAGTGAATGTGAATCTATCAGATTTAATAAGTCCCAAGACTTTATTTAATTTTTGCCAATATAATCTGAAGTGTTTGGCCAAAAATGAATGGCAGTTCTATAAAGCCGCATTAGTCCACTGCACAATCATCATACAGGTTTTCGAAATCTGATGAGTCTATTCGCATTCAACCCCAAATTGTCGACATGAAGAAACTATTTTCAAAAATTGAAAAAAATATTGACACCACATCAAAAGAAACAAATACCGCTATAGGAAAAGTGTTTAAAGTAGGAATACACACAGTTCAAGTCGAAGATGTATTAGCTGAAGGTAGGAAATTCGTTCTAGTAGGGTTGGCGATAAGGGATGGTACATGGGAATATCACTTAGCCCCCCATGTTTGACAGCAGTTCAAATCGATTTTATACTCAAATATCTGATACTAAATTAATATCACTTTACTTTAAAGCGATTACACGCAATTTTTGAACAAGAAACAGATTGACCTATTTTAATCAATAGTTATGTATATATGGAAATATCTGCATGTGATTTGAAAAAAATCAATATGCAAATATACTGTAGTCTATTGAAAACGTTACTATTTAATACGCTCGCAAAATAATCCCATAAAGTCGACATAAAATGATATGTAGTAAGTACGATGCCATAATCTCTGGTAAGAATGGTCTATTGTTCACTAGGTGGGTTTGCAATTGTCTACCTCGTAAGAACCCACATTGGGGGAGTCTCAAACAGAGCAGCTCTTAAACGCATGTATGTTAACAATGAGCAGGATCTTAACGTTGCTAAGCGTGAGCTTCAAATAATTGTAAGTATTGTACCTAACCGAATTATATGCGATGGAAACCTCAAATCAACAATAAATGTTTCTCTTTTAGAGTAGTCTAAGCGGTCATAAAAATATTGTTGGCTACATCGACTCCTGTTTAGTTTCCCTTGGTGGAGGAGTATCTGAGGTTTTGCTCCTCATGACTTACTATCGTCAAAACTTATTGGATATTATGAAAGAGCGCGGTAAACCAGATTTTAGCGAGAGTGAAGTCTTATCTATTTTCTGTGATATGTGTGAAGCTGTAGCGAGACTACATCATTGCAAAACACCAATAATGCATAGAGATTTAAAGGTAAGACTTTTTGAACATGTGAAAAATAAATATATTTAATATTGTCGTATTTCGCCTAGGCATATAATATTTACTAATTGATACGGACTCTATAGTTGTTTATAAACAGGGTAAGTGTCAGTGAATCATTTAAAGCAACGTATTTGTTTTAAATGTTTCCGAAATGAGTTTAAAAAAATAGACAAGTGATTAATTTAGCAGGGATTACCATTATTATTCTGTTAATCTGTCTCAATTTTTGAAATTTAATCTCAAATTTTAGAACTACTATACTTATTTTAAACTACCACTGATCAACAAAACAAACGTTACACGACGAAATTGTGCGAGTGTGTCTGTGCGAAAAAGTGATCTGATTTTTGTTTGAAGCGTTAGTCTAATTCAAGTTTCTATAGGGCGAAAGATGAATGAATCAAGAACAATGCAAATATTCTCAAAACTCCAAAGGCTCCCAGATGAGGAAAAAAGTATTGTTGGATTTCAAGAGGAAAGGCATAAAAGTGGACCTCATATCTCGAAACGGTTCTTAATTTTTTCGCTATCAACATTTGAGCATTGTCTATTTTATTTATTTACAGGGTAATCTAAAAAAACATTTTTTTTCCTGTTTGACCGACTTTCAAAATCTACCTAAAGTTCATATAAACGCTAAAACTTCACAGTCGACTTACGGGAAAAATTCAATATTCATTGCATGCCATTCATGGGTTGCTTGAATGAACGCGTATTGTTTGTAAGATCGCAAACATCGCAAATAAAAACCGAATGTTATCCATAAAAAAAAATATCAGCCTATACACGAGTATACAGATATACAGACTTTTCTTCCTTTTCAGACAAAAGGCTTTGTTTGCGAACTACAGGACGTAGGAATTTATTACAGTACACAATATATTTGTGTTCTATCCCGTTTTCTATTCATTTGCTATTAATCCTAATCGAATCATTAACGAATCAATTATTACTAGAACTGGACATCATTAACCCAGTAAAATAACAGGATCTTATGTGGGTCAGTAGCAAGTAAATCCGTAAATCCATAATCGGGTTTAACACATCAAATAATGTAATTTAAGACCTAAATATACTGATTAAATTTCTTAATGTTCACACAACTACCTGCGTTTAAAATTCAGGCTTAGACATGGTGCTTGTGAGCTATTCATGTAACGGCGCTTCTTTTTGCCAGTTTTGGCTCCAACGTTGATTAAAGCAAATTAAATTTCTGAATTTGTTTTATAGTTATATACATACTTCAATAATATTGGATTTTTTTTTAGAAAACTGATACTGATCTGAGCAAAATATTATATGCTTTAACATACTATAAATTAAATATGTAAAATCATCTCACATACATAAAATTTCTTTTTTGATCAAGCTACATGGAAAGTTCTGTGCAAAATTTAAAATTTCAAAACTATAGGTATCTACGAAACAAAGTAATTTGAGCACGAGTTTTTAGGAACGTCGTAATAATTTTTCTTTCAGAAAATCCATGCATTGTCAGTGATTGATTCGCACACTGTATAATAGCAAATAATAAAAATGTTATTGCATATTCATCATGGTTAATAAAATATTTCAATTTAACGAGAACAATAATTTTATGATATTGGTCGCTAACGTATAACCCGCAATGTATTCTAAATCAACATGAACATTTTATGAAGCATTCCAAAGATAACCACTGGATCGTTGTAATAATTGTCGCACAACTGCTTGACTATAGATTGTTTGGTTTGCTTTAGTACTAGTAAAATAGTAAAAATTTTATTTGCAAGGACAAATTACTTGAGTCGGAAACATGTTCATAGTTTTGCTTCTAAATAATGGAATTTTTATCGTAGAAATAATTAGATATTTTATGTCATAACATTGTTACGATTGTAAATAATCTTCGAGATTACTAGGTGAAATTCAATCTCTGGTTTTTCTGTTGTTGTTAGTAAAGCAAATGTTTTAAATTATCAGTAGCCAAGATGAATGATTTTATTGTGTATAAACAGTCCACTAAATTAAATGGCACTTAACACGGGACATCTGTATTCGCATAACAGGGCACCATTAGTTAATAGTTAATTAATTAACTAATGCGACTTGGTTACGGACTGTTTTCTTCTTGGGTACGAGACTGTTCTTGATCAAAATCATCAATATCGTTATCCTCTTTGGGTTGAAAATCCCCTCTTCCAATTAACGTGAATATGGGATGTGGAGAAATAGACATCCCCATTGATGTTCTATGCAATATTCTACCCATTGTCTGAAAGTAGTTTATGTCAGAACACGAAGAGGGTCTATTGCACAATTTTGGGCAAATTATGAGATTGCTTGCACTTGGAGATAAGTGATATGCAGATCTTTCCATGTACTGCTTAAACCAAAGAGGATATCCATAGTAAAGTCTATAAAATCAAAACAAGGGTAGTAAGTATCAGAGAACTAAAAAGGAAAATATTTTTAAATATACCTTGGTATCTCAAGACTGGCATTATAGTTTTTGCTAATCATAGCTCTTTTTTTAATTTTTTCTGTCCTAATTTTACTGTAAGAATTTTTAATGTTTTTGCCCTGCATACATGATTTCTCATACAGTTTATTGTACAATAACTCTTTTTTGTCCTGCAGTGCATACAAAATCTGTTCTAAAGATCCATTTATGGAAATCAGGATACTTTTAATTTCCAAATATGGGTATTTGTTAGAATCGTAATTGTCCGTCTGTGTGCTTCTTGCAAAACATTGCTTGTTAGCCGAAAACCGCTTTGATTTGCAGCTGCCTGAAACTTTAATAGTCTTTAATTGGGTAGTTCCATAATTTAGAACAATTGTTATAACCCTGCCTGTTAATATTGTAATATGAAATTATTTTTAGATCAGTGGCATTGTTGTTAAGAAACGAATGAATTGTGTTTACATGCAGATTAAACTCAAAGTGTTTTATCTATTTCTGTTGTTGCTCGACCGATGTTTTTAATTAGGTGTTTAATTAATTATTCTCGATATAGACTTAAATTTACTTTATTACCTTTTTCATCGCTAAATTCATGACTGGAAATGTCTAGCATAAATTGTAAAAGTTGCGCGCAACAACACTTTCCTTTTTCTTCAGGAACTTGTTTTCTTTTTATTCTAACTGGCAATTTTGACTGCATTTCTTCAGATTAGGATTTTGCTTGTTTTCGATTCAAACTTCTGTTAAAATTACAATAATTTTGACTCCTTAGTGACATTTTAATGATCACATTATAAAGGTAATTTTATAGAAATTCGTAGCAGCTAATTAACTCTACCTGATAATTAAGGCTTATTTACATAGACGAAAATTGAAAAAATAGTAACGATAATGTAGTAATATTTTTTGTTAAATGTATTGCAGGTCGAAAATGTCTTGATAGATGGTGATACTTGTTTACTGTGTGATTTTGGATCGGCCACTTCTAGAGTATTAAATCCAGCCGAAAAAGGCGTACCAGTGGTGGAAGAAGAAATAAAAAAATATACTACTTTAAGTTATAGAGCACCCGAAATGGTAGATATGTATTGCGGAAAACCAATCACTACAAAGGCTGATATATGGGTAAGAATGAAACTGTGTCAAATTACAAAAGTCTACGGTTAGAAGTCAAGACTTCCATATACTTATAATGTGTATTTTTAGGCGTTAGGATGTATGTTGTATAGAATTTGCTTTTATACGTTGCCATTTGGCGAGAGTACATTGGCGATACAGAGTGGTAATTTTTGCATTCCAGATAATTCACAATTTTCAAAGGGCCTACATCAACTAATTAGTAAGTGACTCAAAACTGTTTTGCGATAAGAATTCCCTAGTTTGACTATTTTAGGATATATGTTAGAACCAGATCCCGATAATAGACCTGATATTTATCAAGTAAGCTGTGTGGCTTTCGAATTACTGGGGAAACCCAACCCGGTGAAAAATTTCAAAGTAAGAGCGATGGCGAACAAATGATAATAACAAAGTGAATAAAAATCATATTGATGATTTTAGAAAGAAGTGAAACCTAACATTGAAGAACTACCAGTGCCTCTGTTTGATTCGGAGCAAAAACGGGCTAGTCAACTAAAAGTTCAGAGCACTAAAGCACTTACGGCAACGCCCACGGTCGAAGGCACCAGTGTTATGCCGAGACAGCGACCAAAAGGAAATACCACAACACCACTGAAACTTAACAGCATTCCTTTAAGCATCAGTTCTAGCCCAAGCGCGTCTAAAAAAGCTCAAAGTTCCCAAAGTCCCACTTCCCAGGTTAACGTTCCTGCCTTTCAACCACAGTCCGCAGGTAATCCTAGTGCGTTTTCCAATCCGCCCGTTTTCCCGGATTTCAGACCCGATAGTTATTTTCCACCTGCGCAAGGCGAGGAACTACCTCCTCAGCAACTCGATTCCTTGTTTCAGTCTTCCATTTACCCTGATCCTTTCCGAGACGACCATCATTCTAATGAGCAACTATCAATTACTACTGACAATAATGGAAGTAAAACTGAAAGCTTTGTAGTGCAAACTGCTGTTAATGTCGTTTCACCAGTTGCTGCCGATATTTCACTTTTTGGATCAGGAAGTTTGGGTCGTGGGGTAAGCTCATTTTATGAAAGTTAAAAAATTCGTTCAGAGCGGAATGTTTACAATTAAATATGCGGAAATTCTTTGGTTACTTTGGTACTTCTTTGGTTTATTTTATGGCAATAATTTCATATAAGGGTTATTTAAAATTGGCGTCATTGCTCGGAGGTAGGTAGAGAGCACAAAAAAACTTAAATCAGTAAAAAAAATAATTACCTAAAAACCTCTCAAATGCGACTCAAAAAAATTAGACTGTAATGTTTTGTAATTTTCTTCGATTAATAGTTTTCCAAAACACCATTAAACTACTTAAAATTTCGCTTAACAGCAAATATTAAAATTCTTCTGCAAATCTTCGAAAAATAAACTGAACAGTAATTTAACAATATTTAATGCAAAGAGCTGCTTAACACACCAAAACATCGAACTAATGGAACGTCACTAACAGAAACAGCCAAATTAAATTGAAAAATTCAAGTTCAATTCATGACAACTATCAAATTTTAGTTGTTATCCTGAATAATACACACCGACAGTATTGCAAATTAAAAATTTGGATTTTTGTTTCAAAATACGTCAAATTGAATGCACCGCCTTTGTGCTTTTTTTCAAAGTTTCAAAGGCAAATATTTTGCAATCCGAATATTAGTATAGCCCGTTCTTCTGGCAAATTTTGAAACATTGTGTCTAAAGACGACTTAGAAATTTTCCATGTATTAACACCATGATAATGGAAAATATATAACACGATATTTTGCCCAATTGCAGATGAGCCCTTTGAAAAGTGGTTTAACAGAGTCTACTAGTATGATAGAAAGCAGTACACCTCCTGCATCTCCCTCATTAAGTGTTCCGAAGGGACACCGGCGCAACATGAGTGATACCACGGCATTTAATAAGTGAGTTTCAATCATCTTAATTTGACTGAATTATTCATTTGCATTCGAAGGGCATTTGCCACTGAAACTACACAATTCCTGGCACCATTTGAGTCGTCAATGAAATCTAAAGCCCGCGACTCACCAACTCAATCTTGTGGTGAGGATGCTGTGATTGCACCTATGGGAAGTTCCGCGTCGACCACTGATGTTAGTCATGTTATTGGTAAGCATACAAGAATATTAACAAGGTGTCTCAATGTCTTCTGCGTTTAATTTTTCCCAAAAAAAATGTTAATTGACTAAATTATTTTAGGAGCTGATAGTCGGTCATTGTCTGCTGATGTTGCAAGTTGGAATCCTTTCGAAGAAAGCACGCCCTTTAGTCAAATGACTGAAGATCACATTTTTGGAGCTGAATTTGATAAAATTCGGCAAGGAACGGGAAGTCAAAACAGTAAGTATTATCATTAGCATATATAAAGCAAAATAGCCAGCCGACTTACCGATTTTCTAATTGTGCCTAGATAACGAACGTACAGGGCACCCCTGAAATGACTGTACACAGATTAATCACAAATTCTTTTTCGCAAAGACGATTTATGCAAACTTACCTATAACCAATGTTGCTTCATTTTTCCGCTACAGGGCGCCAAGGATCTCAAATTAATATCATTTTTCCCAATAATTTCGAAACGCCTATGACGACTTTCATCAATTTTTCAATCAACAATTACTACATAAATGCAGGTGTTTTGACGTAAGCGTGGTTTTTTTAAAATACGTGAAAATATAAAAAATTACGCTTGGTTTATTAATAAGTATTTGTATTTTTGTTACATCCTGTACAAATCATTTAATCTTATTTCTGCAACTTGTTGATTATCTTTTGAAACTTTCTTGCCTCTTGTACAATTTTTGTCAGACTTACAGTTTCTGTACCAATTATTTAGCTAACTAGCAATTTACATTTTTAATTATTTAAGAAATGTTCAAAATGTTAACTGTCACGAACACATAAATTAATCCTTATATACCGTATACATAATTAAATGTGTTTTAAAATAATCTGCAGCATTGAAAACTCTTTCCAGTAACTCGGCTTTTGTAGCGACAGGCAAAGCAAACAGGTTTGATTTGAAAGAGCCCCACAGTAAAAAATCTAGCGGAGTTAAATCGAGTGATGTTGGTGGCCAATTTATGGGTGCATCGTTGCATCTTCCGATCCATATCTTAGGATATGTTGCATTTTAAAATTTTGAACAACAAATACTAAGTTTTTGGTAAACAGTAAAACGGTCGGTTTATCAAAGGTACAAAATAATCTTGTTTCAGTTAAGTCAAGCATTGTTTCTAGGCAACAATAAAATAAATTTGACAAAACAACAAAAACCAGTTTGTATAATTTTTCACAAAATTGATGATCTGCAAGGTATTGTAAATATTTTTTTTGCACAGAAACTGTATGACGAATATATTACAAGAAGCAAAAACGTTTTAAAAGAAAATCAGCTGGTAGCTGAAAAAAATTTAAATTATTTGTACAGGGGGTATAAAAAATATGTATTAATTATTATGTACAAACATGTATTAAAGAATAAAGCGTCATTTTTAATATTCCCACTAATTAAACAAAGCTCACGCGTACGTCAAAACACATCAATTTATGTAGTAATTGTTAATTCGAAAATTAGTGAAAATCGATATGGGCGTCTGGAAAAAACTATACTACTTTGAGAACTTTGGCGCCCTGTTACGGCCGAATGGCAAAGTAGAGCAACATTGGATATACCTAAGTTTGCTTAGATTGTCTTGTTTTAGGTTAAGGAATTTGTGGTTAAGCGTTGTACAGTCATTTCAGGGACACCCTGTATATAACGTTACTAATTACTCGATTTATTATCCGAGGTATTCATGATGCAAAGTCTAATGAAAGTCTTGTTATGCAAGAGGACCCTTTTGGAGCAGCACCATTTAGTTTCCCATTAAAGTCACGAGAAAAGACTCACAAGAGACTACATTCAACAGGTAATATGTCTTAAAGAAATTTTATTTGAAAGTGACTATTGAAATGATTTTTTCTCAACTAAAGTTATGTGAAATGCTCGTTAGACATTAGTTGTACCGACTGTATGCATAAACATATTAGTTAGCATCTAAGTATATTGTTTATCAAATGCTACGCTATGCTTACATGTGGGGTGATATATTGATGTTTTATGGGTTTTAACACTGTTTCAACCTGATGAAACATGGTAAAGTAGCACAATCCATAAATTTAATCTGTAATACCTGAAATTTCGATTGAGCAGTGTTTTTAATAAGAAAATATACATCCAGTGGGGACGATAAGAAAAATCCCTCACATATTTTTCCATAATTCTTGCTTTTTAATAATGAAATTTAATGATTCAAGGTTATGAGTCATATCTCTATGTTTTATTAAGATTTTGCGATTTAAGCATAAATCTGAGTGATTACTTACACTAATCTACTTTAGCACCACTTAATATTGAATTATCTATAAAAAAATATGTTTCTTAATAAGAAATGCTCTTGCTATGATTACAACAGAATGGATGTTTTTATCAATCAGAGCAAGAATATAAAAGATCATTCCAAAAATTACTTTTAGCCTAGAGAGAAATAAAAGACATCGTTTCCTAGTCACTAAATTGAATCAGCAATTGTTAGCCGTCTTTGTTTAGAAATATTAATTAGATGATATTTACTTATTGTTAGAAATCGTGGCTTTAGTGAATCAAGTAACCCACGAAGTCGGTCATTTAGTTGGGTTAAACTGTGATAAAATTATTCAAATACTTTGTGTCATTTGTTTGGATAAATTCCAATAGCAATATATCATTTGTACACTAGGCTTATACCTACCTACCTATACATGATAGGTGTCAAATTTATTTTATTTCATATTGAGATTTAAAAAAAATCAAATATGTAGTATTTGTGCGAATTATGCTTTCGATCTCGATTGGAAATTATTTTTTTAAATTGATTTTTATAACTATTTCACATATCATTACATTTATTCGTAGACTTCTATATCTATAGTAGGATTTCTCATCAGCCGTTGGCGCTTTTGGTGGTTTTCAGACTCTTTGGTATCTTCCAGCTCCAGAGGCTCTGTTGTTCAAAGATCTATAATAATGTTGATTTCCTGACCAGATGCTTCCAATTTTTTTTCCATATCCCTTTTTACAAATTTTTAATATATTCTGATTAACAGTCTTCTTAGCAGTTGCCAACTTGTTTTGGGCTTTTTCCAACTGCCTAGAAATTTTTTCTAAGTCGAAAAATCAGCGCCTCCTTTTCTAGCTGCCGCAATCTTGTCTGTTTCTTGGCCTCTGGTCAGTTGAGCTTCAGTTTCAGTAAAAACTGTGCTTTTCCTTGTGTCATTTCTCTACAGGGCATTGAGGTTGATTCCTCCCGCTCTTTAGAAGTAGCATTCAAGCTGCTGGCTAGATTACAACTTTGAGCGTGCATTTCTTGTAGTGCAGGCGAAATGGTCAGCAGCTTGGTGCAGTTGTGCTTCCAAGGACGCTTTGGATTGTAATAGCTTTATTATAAAGTGGCACCAATATATTTGAGCATTATTTTATGTTTAGACATTTAAAGTGTGTAAAGTAGTACTCCCATCAAACTAATACAATAAGTAGAATACATTGGTATCACGTAACCAGATTTTTGGAACAGCATTTTTAGAAATACCTCTATTTATGTTTCCTTATTGTTACATGCGTCAGTTCTTAAATTATTCACTACATTTTATTTCAGCAATTATAAATCATATACGTACCTATAGCGTTGTAAATATATATTTTGGTAAATTCATTAATTTCAAATTATACAAATTATTTTTGTGATCATCTATCATTGAGTGTACAGCTATACATATTATGTATTAAATGCGGCAATAAAGTTGCTTTGCATTAGAAAATGGTTTTTATTACAATTCCTATCTCTAAAAATGGCTGTTCCAGAATAGGAAAGGTGGTGGGTTAACTAACTTTGTAAATATTTGTTTAGAAAACCTACTTTCAAAGCACTCCCACTATCTTCAATTATGAAACAGCCTTTTTGCTCTTACTATATCACCCTTTTGCTTACTAGATCGTTATTAGCAAAGCCTATTTGTGTCACAGAGTCAATTACATTATTTCGGCATTTTATGACTACAGTTCAGAAACGAAGGTTTTACTGGAGCTCTGAAAAAAATTGTTCCCTATTATCTAAGCTAAAACTTGCGGCCAGATTTTCCATAAATTACTTTAAAGTAGATCTAATATTTCTAACAGCACCCCATTTTTGTGTAGTTAGACAAGCTGTAATTTTCATATAATTAACAAATTCGCATGGAATTGCTAGATATATAAGGGGATTACAGTTTATCGTAGACCAAAAAAAATACCAATAAGTCAGCAAACCAAGTCCAATTGTAGTTAGTGTTGAAATTACTTGAACATATGTATTTGTTCGTAAGATATGCGACAGTTTTTTAAAATTTATTTATGGCGTCTTAAATTAGCACTCCAACCAAGTTTACTATAAGCTGGAATCATCCGTTATACATTATAAATTAGTACTTACAAGTTCGTTATATGCCAAAAGGTACGTAGTTTTTGAAAGAGCTTTCGGGTATATATAAAAAAAATTACAAAAACTATATATTTCTTTTCAGTTTCCTCATCATGTCGATTAGATATACCGGAACCTGTTATAGAAGAAAAATTAGAAATCCTTGCCACCTTCGATTACTCATCCGAATCTCGTTCAATTTCACACGTTTTTTCAGAAGGAGACGTCCCATTGATTGGGACAACCGAAACGGAAAGTGACAACGAGATTTCGCCGTCGTGCAAAAAAGTGCAACTACCTTTAGAATTGCCGTTAGAAGACCACAGGAATAAATACGAAAAACTTATACACGGACTGGATTTCAGTTCCGATAGCAGTGAACGAGAGGAGAAAATTAAACAGGACAAAGTAAAAAAAAAGAAGAAAACCACTATACCGGAAAAGCTACAACATGTATACAAAACTATGGAAATACCGATTAAAAACTTCCGCTCAGAGGACAGGCAGCATAAATGTAAGAAAAAACGAGCAGACAAAAATTCGTCCAATGCTGAAGTGGATTCTGATGATTCAATTGGATCAGCTAGTGATCTCAAAGCCGATGACGATCAGATCGAAATTGGCGAAGAAGCCAAAGAGGACATTAAAAGTGAGAATGTCAGCGAGGATATACAAACATGCGGTTCTTCCGCGTATCATGCAGAGTGTGAAAGCATGGCGACACACGACGATGGTATTAGTCGGGTGGTTAGATCGAAAAAGAAAGCGGAAATTAAACTAGTCGATCAGCAGGAAAATGAAGATATGAATTTCATAGGACATCAGTACGGTGAAAAACCGCTTCTCGCAGACGACGAACTTGATTCTGATTATGAGGTCCTAGAAAATATCAAGTGGGATATTGAAAAGAATACGACTAAAAAAGAATGCCTGTGGATGGCTCCCTCAAGTAGCTTCGAAGAGGCTTCGGATGTATTCAGTTTAGCTCCGTTTGGCACACCAAAATTTACAAAAATCAGTTTAGATCAGGCTGTGCCATTAGCAGAAGTTAATCTCCGTTCTAGTGTAAGTGCTGATCCAAACAAAACTCATGATTTTTCAATAGTATCGGAAGCACCAAGATCTCTAAATCCTTTTTTGTCCTGTGAATATTCCACATCTAGTTTGCCACGTAGCTATAATTACGATAACTCCCCAAAGTTCACACATACAGATGTACTCTCTCATTCCAAATCGGCTTGTTCGCAAAGGATTGATTTTGGATCCAGCTTTAGTAATAAGGTGGGCAGTAATTCGGATAGTTTGCTGGGTGAATTTTCCGAAAAATTGAATACTGTTGAAACCACTCAAGATTCAGAATTTTTAGTAGATCTCTCCAACAGCAGTAGCGACAATTTTCCTATTCTACGCACAACACCTGCTTCAGTATTTGCCTCGTTACCCGATGCAAATGAGAAAAGAGAATCACCGAAAGTAACACTTTGGAAAGACAAGAAAAAAGAAAAAGACATGAAATCAAAATATCAATTATTTAATGACATTGACTCCGCGGATTGTAGCTTTAGAACCCCAAAGAATCTCAAACAGGCTAAAGCAACGAGCAATTCCGGTAAAAAATCCAGCAAATCAAAGAAAAGTTCTGGCAAGGTCTTAATGGAAGAAGGCTTTAGCAACATGAGCTTTGAAGACTTTCCGTCTGATGATACAGAAGTGATTTCAAATTCTGAATTGCCGTTTGAAGTATTACGGAGTCCGGAGGAAGATATTCGCAGATCAAATGGAAAGCGAGTTGCAAATCCATTTTCTTGAAGCAAAACGTTTGAAACCGATCACTCTATAAAAATGTTTGAAGGCGAAATAAACCACAGAAACTTTTAATTGATGATATTATAATTGGAGTTTTAATAGAAAGATTGATATTGTTGCTGTCCCGATTAGTGGTTACAGATTTTTTCAATAAGAATCTCAATGTTTTCTATGTACACAATAATACATACACTCTGTATAGTTACACGATAGTTAATTTCGTAAATTCTAACTAATTCCGCTGAAAGAGTGTAACAAATAAAAATATAAACATCACAATAGACTCTTTCGTTAAGATGATATAACATAAAGTACAGTAAGTCTACTTAAGCTGTAGCCATATAGAAGAAAATAAATACTATTTTCAAATTATTCTGCATGGTCTAAAACCTAAAAAACAACAAACAGAAACTAATGTTGATTGATGTTGCTCAAAACAACGAATGTGGCTCAAGAGTAAAGTAGCTTTTTGTAACAATATCGCAAAAAGTTGATCTGAATTGAAAAAAGAAAGTTAAATTGTAATTTCTACGAAAATTATCTCATCAATAATGAACATCTTATAATAACTCAATCTTTCGTTTACTAAAATCGCTTTGAACTTTCAGTTTTTTAATGAACAATTTTGTCTTGAAATTTTAAATTAAATCCTAGTTTTCCGAAACCTGCTAATTTCCTGCAGATCGATGTAATTACATATTTGAATGTATTTTTCAATTACGATTAACTTTGTTTTACAAGTTTGGATTTTGCCAAAAAAAAGCTGCTTTTTTCTTGAGCCAACTTTTAAAAAACATCGTTTACAGCTGAAAGATCAAACTGATGCTGCAATTTAGTAGACATACCTACTGTATATTAATCACTTATTTCGCTTTTCATATATTTTCCTACAAAAAAGCTAGTGCTTTTTAAAAGTGAGATAGATAATGTTAGTGATAATAAATCACGGCTGTAATGAAATATAGAAGTAGCATAGTATTTTGATACAATTGTTAAGTATCCAATATTTTTCAGAATAGCTTAGGTATACATATATCCACAACGATTTCAAATTGAACTTCAGTGACACGATAATTATTGTTTACATGACCAATAGCTCAGCTTTTAAATAATATTTATTCGACTGAATGATTTAGGCTTGCTAAATTTGCATTCCACTTAATAATTAACTGTATTTGATAGAATAGTTTAATTCGGACCGTTAAAGTATATAATTTGACCTCATAAATGTGGTTAATCAATTTGTGAGCTCAATTCTAAAAGACTAAACTTGAAAACCTTAAGTACCTGTTTACTAATTAATTGAAGGATATTGTCATTACATCATTCAAATAAATCAATAAAATGTACTACATTATTATAGGTATTGTAGTGCCTTTGGCAGGATAAATTTTGGTCTGATTGCTAAAACAATAATTATTTACGAAAATTTACATGATATAGATGTTTTTGCAAGAAATGTATAATTTTGTACTACATGCTAGCTACTCATAACGTGAACATATAAATTATATACAAACCAAAGCTTTAGGATTTAGAACTTATCTGGAAAAATACGTAATACCTGTCCTTGAAAAGATTGTTAATTATGCTCTTTCCCTACTATTAATTATTTATTTTATATTTATTCGATTACTAAACAACACTACGTACCGATTTAAAAATATTTCTTTCTCAAAATCAAACGTTTTTTGTGAATTCTCATGATCACGGCGTACTTAATGGTATTTTAGAAGTATGATATTAAGAGGTTTTTTCAACGCTTAGGAATGATTATTCGTTAAATCGGCATACGTGATGTAGGAAGGATTAAAACGCATTTTGCAGAAAATACACGACCTATTTATTGAAAATTTGTACTTTATATAATACGATTTTGTTCATGTTGCATTCCGTTTTCATTATACATACATCTAAGTATAATTTATTGCACATTTTTATTTATGTATTAATACGAATAAATATGTTTTGTTTGTTTATACAGGATTTTCATTTTAAACCTTTGCGTTTGTGTCACTCGGTTATGGCTAAGACTCTGGCGACCAAAAGGTTAAATATGTGTAAGTATTATATGTGTATATATTTCTAAGGCACAGTATTTTAAATATGTAACTAATATACATAAGGAAGACAATCTGTCCTTTTATGGAACACATTTCAAAGAAATACAGGAATGCTATTTTTTCCAGTCTGTCGTGTATACATATACAGGGTGGCCCAGCAAAAACGTCGCACCTTCATTTATGACTCTCCTAATAGATTATTTTAAAAAACGTTTAAATGTTGAATTATTTATTTCAAAAAGTTTGTTCGCAGTTCTTATGGACATCTTTGTGCGCCGCAAGTCAAAAACAAATCATGTTAATGAGCTTAATTTTTTAAACAATTAATACCGTGATACAGACATTTTTCTTTTCAGGAAGGATGGAAACAAAGGCAATCTATTTTGAAAAAAAATCACACAGAACTATTAACGAAAACTATTTGGGATGATTAAGAAATACCTTTGAATAAACTGAATTTCTAACTAATATTCTCAACTTATCATTCAAACGATGCGAAATAATATAATATAAACAGCGGTTTTGAGACAGGAGAAATAATTTGAAAGGCTTTAATTTAAAGAATGAAATAAAAGATAACATTTTTAATTAGTTCAAAGACGATGATTATGGAGAAGTTTCGAGTTCTACGAAGAAATGAGTCAACTGTTTAATTCAGCAATAGAAAGTTGCTGGTTAATATTAGTTTTTCGGATACATTCACATTTGGTTTACATTGTGACTCAATTCAAACCCTCAGTCAGTTAGTTAGTAGTCAAAATATTTGATAGATATATTGAGAATAATTAATATTAAAGGGCCTTTTCCTATAAATAATCCCAGAAATCAGAGCCAATTGAAGACCTTCTTCACCCAATTACAAATGATATAATACGGTAGTACTTACAGAAAGTTTCAGTAGAATTTTATTTTATTATATGAATTTCTCTTTGAGCTTCTTCAACAATGTTTCTCTCTGCCTGACAATTTAATTTTTCTGTGCTTGATTTTTTTTATTTTAAGGAAATTATTACAACTACCTTTTTCTTTATGAGTAATTCCAAAGTAGGTACCCTTGAAGAAGCCTTAAAAATTTATATACAACAAAACATCAACGTTTATTGTTAGAGCTGTGAAAACGCAGATAAAATAAAAACTTGAATTGAATGACACACATGTTTACCCAAAATTACTGCAAATTTAAGGCAAGGACGAGAGCTGAATGAATCAGGAGCGTCATGGCGTTTTTGTTTGGTCATCTTATATGAAATGGATATGCAAAATTCAGTCTGTTAATTACACATTTTTTTGTAAATGTTAAGCAAAATTCAGTATTATTGAGCAGTTAAAGTTTGTCTATTTTGGTTCAACTTTCAGTTAAAACATAGATATCAATATAATATGTAAATATAAATTTTAGAAAAACTATTATAATTAAACATATTAAAGTGAATAATTTGCATCTTGTTATAATTCGTTTAGAACTTATAATCGTCAAATAAATAATTATATTAAGTACACGAATCAAAAATTAATTCTTATGGAAAAATATACGGTTTTTGCACAATCTATAAGAATAATACTTTCATAAGTTCTTACAGTCTCCTTCAAGCCTCAAAAATTTGTTATGGATTGTTTTTAACTGGATCTATCCGTGGATAGTACAGTTTAAGAGCAACTGTGTTTCAATTTTTCCGGACTGTGTAAAATATTTAGCATTATTATCAATTTCACTTTTCTTTTCAAAAATGTTAAGTGTACATTCAAAATACGAACTTTAGCTTATAGTTTATCCAAAACGATGTTTAGTTTTGCTGGACTAAACTTGAACTTATAGGGCAAACACTTTTTACAAATTTTAAGTACTTTGAAACGACACAACAATGCATTAATTTTTTTACAACTGCTTGTTGGGTACTTCGCCTCAAAAATTTTTGTCTTTAAAACAGTAGTTTTCGTTATTAGTTTTTATTTTTTTTCTCAATAATCACAGACGATGTATCAGAGCGAATTTTTACATACTGTATTATCCTACTATTGTTACACAATTTATTAACATACTCTTTTTTAGGTTCATTTAGGTTCTTTTGATAACGATAACAGAAAATAGCTATCGAAGCGTCAAGGTAATTTTGTATTACCTTGACCTATATTTATAAATAATTTCTTTACTAATTGGAATTTTCCCTTACAGCAAGTGTGTCGCAGGATACCCTCTAGATGATAGTTCTTGATTACTTTTTGATAAATAATTCGTTCTTATTGCGAAATAAGAACACTATTTATCTTCTTCTATCTGTCTTACAAAATTTTTTGAGGCGAAATACCCAACAAGCAGTTTGTAAAAAAATGAATCCGCTTCAACAATATAGAACTTATCTAATTCATTAATTCATATAAAATTGTCTTAAAATATTAACGACAGGTAAGGCATTCAAAGGGTAAAAATTGTAAAGACTGAAGCGATAAAATCAAGCAAAATAAATCTAAACATATCTATGTTTGCGTTTTGCCATCGTAATATTTAAAACACTGGAAAACAACAGAATCATCCATGCAAAGCACGATGCTGCTAACCCTAAACTAAGGGAAAGTCCAGTGTTTATAAACCCATTTCTAGACGCATTTTCGCTGTCCAGTTGCATGTAATCCATGAAATCAAAAACAGATTGGCAGTACAAACGTCGATGGATGACTGGAAGTGCACTTCCATGCATACCTATCATCTTTTCAAGCACCCTTCTGTACTGATTGCAAGTTGTATAAAATCCATCCAAAAATAACGCGAAATTAATTAGAGCATACGCGAAGAAAAAGGAGGTAAACACGGACATGGTTATCCAGAATGTTCGAGGTAGAGGGCTGGTGTCTTCTTGGGAAATTGCTGTTATTTGAACAGATGAACCAGTTCTAAAAGGGTCAGTCAATTATGAGCTTTTATAACTTATAAGCAACGTAAATCAAACTTTTTTAAATAGTTGAGCACTGTACCTATTGACTCTCACCTTATTAAGCAATAAATTGTTATTTAAGTATAAACACATTCTACCTGTGTGATTTGTGTACTTACTCGGTTTTAGCAACCACAGATCTAGTAGATCTCATTCTAGGTGATTTAGTAGTAAATAGAACTCGATAGCCATGAAAACAAGTCAGACAAATGCAAAAGAATACATAGAGCAGTGGTCCAAATGTAACCCATATACATGGTGCCTGACCTCCACCTGATAGTAAGTATTTTACACTTAGGGGGATAGTCATTCATTTCGTTTTTAATTTCAAACGCAAGTAGATACTTATGCTTAGCAGAGCATCTTACTAAAAAGTGTGCAGGTGACTTACCTAAGAAACGAGAAACTGTGTTCTGTCCATATAGAATGCAGCTGCAATTCCTCCCAACACATTGATCCAACGTTCGGTACCAGTGGCCCCATGAAATGCCTGTAGTAATACTAGCGATTCCTCCCAGGATTATGCAAAATAAGTAGCTCAAAGAAAGTCGTTTTTCAATTCCCAATTGGTCCATTGCAAATTTGCGCTTTAAATTGCTCCAATGAATTTTTACTACTAATTATCCCTGATTATGTCTTGTTTGGTACAAAACACAATACTTTATTTACAGTTTATAAATACAAACAAAACTGACAAAAGCGGAGAATGTTTAGAGGTTGGGATCCAGAACCCTACCCTATTTAAGTAAATTTCGTGTATCTTGAGTGGCATACCTGATTTGTTCTGGATGAGCTTTTAAGTGGCTTGACAACGTTGAATATGACCCTCAGCTAATTTGTTTCAATGTTAACTTTTAACTATTATCATTGAAAATACGCGGAATAATTAAAGTTGATATAATTTGCAACAAGGGCTTTTAATAATTATTTCCACAATTTTCCTCTATGAAATTAATGATAAATTTTTTGCTGATCACGCCCCATTGCTCGGCTGCCAGATTAGTTTACAATGGGCGTCTGGTAGAACATTATTGCTTTTATTTGAATGTCAAATTAATATTAATAGTGAGTAGTCTGTGGATACAAATCAAAGTTCAAGTAATAATTGAATATTAGGAAACTTTTCAAATTCGTTAATCATAATTTACATCCTGCAGTGACTCTATTAGTGAGAAGAATTCAGCGTCCTTATTGTGAAAATGTCGAGAGTACAGATTGCTACTACTGAAATAAGAGGTAATTTTTCAGTTACTTCAAACTGTGCTGTTTAACAAAAAAACAAGCAAATATTGCGTTTAGTTTCCTGCTGAATAAACATGCATGTTTATGCCCATTTCAGCTCCAAATATACAATAACTTTCATGATGTTAATTGTTATATTCCAAGGTTATGACTTGCAGAACCTGCAAGTCAATTGGGGCTCTTTAATCTAATCTACAATGTAAAAACGAAATTGGAGACACTCGGAACAGTCTAGCTTTTCAAGAATGTACTACAGTTTATTACCAAATTGGTATAATTGGCAACGCATCCCCAAGAGCCGAAAATTATTCTCAAATGTTCAATTTTAAATCACACATGTACATGAATATAGCAATATAACTATTTAAGTAGGTATTGAGACCATTGAGAAAGATAAACAGTTGAGCAGAAATACATATATTACACAATTATATTTTCCAAAATGAATATAGCATTAAGAATGCTAATTATATAATACTGCATACTTTTAACTTTAGTGACGCTCTCTAGTTAACTTATTCTGTTCAAAGTCGTACTAAAGACTTCCCTGGTAATTCGTGATGATTTCTATAATCCAAAAGTGGTCGATATGCGAAATACAAAGCGTCAAAATAAGATGAAAATTTCCACTGAAAAAATAATTATTATTTTGTTTGTTATGCTACTATTTGTACGAAATTTCATGTATAGGTGTTTTTCTTGAGCGATAAATTACAGTGCGTTAACATTTGCTATGCACATTTGAGCGGAATTCTGTAAATTCCCCTTAAAACGGTAAATATTTTTGACATCATCCAGTCATAATTATTATTTGTGAACATATAAAAGTAAACTCTTTCTAAAAGTGAGAAAATGCACCCCTTCTTGTGCTATTTAAAGTTTAAAGTTTGTCGCATCCCTCCCTATATGGTACTATTTGAAAATGCCATATTTACTTGAGCTAAAATCGATTACTCAATTTGTGATTTCCGATAAAGCCGCTGTAAATATTAATTTGTAGTGAAAAAGATAAAATGGAGCATCCATCATTGCTTAAAATATCGTGTGAATTTTGAATTTATCTCAATAAATTGTATTTATTATTATTTTCCGTTGAGTATACCACAGATTTTAAAGCCCGCTATAAAAAAGAATTAACTGAAAATAGTGAAAAACTGTGAGTTAGGCGACAACGCCGACGGCCGTTAACAAGCTTGCGGCGAATTTTAAGCTACAAAGTCACTCAGTTGCAAATAAAAGTGGTGCAAGTGATTTTTTTGCTGAATTTCAGTCTTCTAACTTTTATACTGATTAACCGAATTTAATATATTTTTGGAATATGTTGCTTAATTCTTTTGCTTTTATCTCAAGGAAAATGTGTCAATGAAAATGATTGTCCGATGATTTTTCATTACAAATATCAATAAGCAACAATTATTAAAGAATTAATGTTTACCAAAAGACACAGTTTCAAAAGCATTAACTACATTTGGGTTTTAAGTAAAACGGTAGCACACAGGGGGTTTCAAACACTAATAAAAATGGCTTCAAATTTTCCTCATTAATTGTTATCGAAAGAAACGAAACAACATTTGTTACGCTGCAAATAATAATAAAAATTAAGAATTAAGCTAGGTATAAACTGGAAAAAATATATCGAAATCGGTTAATTAATATAAAAGTTCGAATACTTGGAACTTTACCAGAAAATCTAGCGCGTCATTTTTTTTCGAACTGAGATGAATTACCTGTAGAGACTGCTTCCATTTAAAATGTGTACAAACACCAATCTGATCATAGGTCAATGTTAACACTGGGCGCATATTTTTATATGCCCTTTTGAAGATGATTTGAATCTGCCTGACACCGTCTTTGTCTATGTGCGTGAAAAATATCAAGGGATTGTAGTTTCTCGCCCATATGAACTTTGGTGCTCAGAATTTGCAAAACCATCTTTAAATGAGACAAAGCAAGAACTTAATAAATAATCATTTACATAGAACATTCATTCAAGGAAGAGCAGAATAGAAATTTCTCAACTGGTTGCAAATTGAAGTTCTTTGGTCTCCCATTATCGAATAGCATTTTGCATGTCATTGACTCTAATTTTCAGCCAGAGCCCTAAGCTCTGAAAGGGGCTTCCGAGATGATCCTAGTCCCGATAGACTACAGAGAACCAGAAGCCGAGATCGAGATAGACCTGCCAATGATTCTGATTCTAATATGTCCAGCACATTGGACATTGTGCCATCAAACCCTACCGATACGAATCTGTTCATGATGGGTAAGAAATTTGGCTGTAGACTTTTAAGCTTTTTCGAACAAGTAAAATCTATTAGGTCAAGTGGACAATGTTATGATGAATATGTTTATGAACCCGGGAATAATGGGAATGAACAATTATATTGTTCCTCCAATGATGACGCCAAACCCGAATTTAATGCCTCCGGGAGATGAGACTTATACAGTGGGAATAAATTCAGTTAAAGAAATCGTCCACTTTAAGTCTTGCACATTGTTCCCACCTAGTCCTCATGCCCCACCACCTACTACAAGAGACAGGCCTCCTGGATGCAAAACTGTGTTTGTTGGCGGTCTGCCAGAGAAAATAACTGAAGAAATTATTCAGGAAATATTTGAAAGGTAAACATACCAAAACAATGGGTTTCTTGCACAGTTTATACAGGAATATAACAATAAAATGTCGTGGTTTTGTACTTCTAATTACTTTCAACATTTCAACTAAAAAATCTACTAATAGCAATAATACCCTAAACTTTTGTTGTAGATGTGGGGAAATTACCACTTTAAGACTCAGTAAGAAAAACTTTTGCCATGTAAGATTTGTTTTCGAAGCCTCAGTTGATTCTGCAATATATTTGTCTGGATACAGAATTCGAATTGGTTCTAATGTCGACCCTGGTTATAATGGTAGGCTGCACGTTGATTATGCACAGGTAAGAACAGTTAAAACGAAAGCGAATAGGGCTGAAGTAAGTGTTATGTTAAGGCTCGAGATGATCAGTATGAGTGGGAATGTAGGCAAAGACAATTGGAAAGGGAAAGAAGACACCGAGAAAGAATGGAAGAGGAGAGAATGAAGCGACCCTCTCCACCTCCAGTTACGCACTACTCTGATCATGAAGCCAGTAATATTTCTGACAAACTTAAACATGATGAATCGTTTACAAAAGCGCTTCAGGTAAGACAAAACTTGTGCCTTTGATGTAGACAAACTATTAAACAAGTAACAAATTTCCAGGTTGTAATAACGTGGTTAGATAGAGGAGATTGCAACAAGAAGAATGCCAATTCTTTCTATTCTATGATACAATCAACAAACTCACACGTTAGACGGCTGCTCACGGAAAAGTCTCACTATGAAGATGAATTGAAAAAAGCCAAGGATTTGCTCAAGGGAAGAATGCAAGGAATTCTCTTACAATGTAAGTGTTGCATATTTTTTTAGTATCCTAAGTGTATCTGGCTCGATTACCAGTAAACTTACTGTAATTTTGAAGTCAATAATTATTTTATAAAAGTCATTTAAGCATCTTTTCTTATTAAAGTTGTTGAAAAACTAACTGAAAGTGTAAGTATCAAAGTAATCGGTTTTAATTTACTGATTAACAGGGTTAGTATATTTGACGTTAATACATTCTTATTTTTCTGGACAAGTGAAAAATGCAGGCTTCTATCGGCCAGAAATATATTAAGTTGTTAACGCTCTGGGTTTGCCCTCTTTACAAGGCAGTTTAAAATACTTCGTGTATTTTTTCTGTTATTTATATAGTTAAAGACACTTTATAGATACGCCTGCGGTCTCATAGTATTTAGTGTATTGCCAGATATGACCAAAGTCAAAAATATGTATTGCGATTATATATTATATAAACCTAATGTTTTGGCTTAGGTAAGTAGCTTTACTGTTAGAACTTAAATTTTTTTAAAAATATATTAATCATAATATGTAGTTAATTAACTGTCAATAGCAACCTCAATGATATGTATCGAAACTAAATTAAACTATGTGCATGCATCTGTAATATTTTGCGTGTGTATTTATTTGAAGAGTCTCTGACTGACTTAAAATTAGTTGACCATAAATACAAAAACCAATTTAAAAATTGGGATGATACCATTAAAAAACGTACACGTCACCGCTTAAAAAGATCATCTCTTCAGGTAACCATTTAAGGCGCGCTTGCATAAGTTCAGTAAAAATCCAGTTTCTAGAATTTTTGAGACACAAGAAAATTAACACAAGTTTTGAAGATTTAGAGCCTAATTTAAATATCTGTTTTATGAAAAACAAATACAATAAACTCTATACTAGGTATAAAATCGTTTAAATCCAATTTGTCTTTGTATTCAAAGGATAGAGTCATAGATGATGCTGTAAAAAATTAACTAAGGTGAGTTTAAAGACCCCAGGCATATCTATAATTTGACTTCATAATATAAAATACATGAAACAGTAACCAGGACCAGGCATCACTGTGAGTTATCCGCACCTTATAGGCAATTTTTATCGAGCTTTCTTCAAATTCTGAATCAATTTGCTACAGTTTTTATTAAAAGATTTTATAATATATTTAACATTATGATTCAATTTGCGTGTGCCTGTTAGTCAGTCACATTGAGCGATTGTTCGAGGCTGCCCATCATAAGAAAGTCTGGGACCATTTCACTAAGGCACAGAGAAAGAACATCGAAGGTTGGAAAAAACAGTCGTTGGTATGTACCCCCTTGGACTTTGGACTAAGTGTGACCAGTACTAACTTATTCGTGGTATTTGTACAGTATCCGGTTTTTATAAAATTATGTTTATATGACTACTTTAAATATTGGTTTCTCAACTGCTGATTTTAAAAAAAATGCAAATTTTATAAAGCGAAATAAAATGTATACATTTTAGTGCTTTGCGACTATAAGACTACCACGAATTTGGATAGTATTTTTGCTGTACTTAATTTTTCTTTATAACAAGTGTGTTTTTGTTCATTTGAGTGTTGGCAATGAAAAAGATTATTCGTTTTAAAAACAGCAAGCTCTAGATGCAAATTTAAAAAGTCCAAGGTTTTTGCATGACTAAGGTTTACTATATCTATCTATATGTACATTTGCACCATCATACATAAAAATGGTACATATTGTTGCTTTTCAGATCAAGAGCAAACTAAATCTCCTTCTATTGATATTATTTATATTTAATATATTGAAATTATTTACATTTATTATATTATATTAATTATATATTTTATAAAATATTTTTCTCTATATTCTTGTTAGAAATTGACAATCATCGAAATATTTCACTAAAATTGTTCAGTGACAATTTTTGAGGAATAGTTTTGCTTTAATTTCCACAATTTTCTCATAATTATCAACCTGTGCATAATGAGTATTAGAGATTGAACTCTTTAAAACAATTCAAATTACACAACATTTATTTTCGAAGAATTTTGTATGAAAAAAATGTGTGTCTCAAAAGCAATAATATTCTCCTATACATCTTTTGCAGTTTTCAATCAACAATGAAGGATGTGTTTCCTTCTTGGGGACACGGTCTAGGCAGTGGTGAAAAAAAAAACTTTCAGCTGCCTAGCTTTCGGAGATTTACTTTTTCCGCCTTCTTCAGGGCTGGAAGAGTCATTACGAAAATCAATCAAACAATTAGTCATGATTCAAACGAAGGACAAGCATTTTTCGACAGAAATATACAGGGTACTTATTGCTAATTGTTTCCTATGAAAAGTCTGAGAACCCTCCAGAATTTTATTATTTTGGTAAATTGGTGAAACATCTTTTGGCATTGAACGTATTACAGCAATTAAACGGTTGTATAATTGTTCCCCTGAGTCATATTGTTGGGTCCAATGGTAGTCAAATTAAAAATTCACACATAACAGTTTGTAGAGAGGCAAATGAACAAACAGCGATAACAGCATATTTAGTAACGAGCTAAAATTATCCTTTATTTATGTTTTTTATTTTTATAACTTATGCTTTTTTTATTATTTATTAAATTATTTGGTTGCTGTGAAAAGTTTGATAGATAATAATAATTCGATATGTCTTGAATTTACATGGAAATTATTTTATTATTGTCCAAAGTTGTAAGATATTAAAATAAGCATAGGATTATTGTAAATATGACATAATAATAGGTTTATTCGCGGTAACGATTCAGAACTGGTTCAAAACTAATCGCATGTGTTTAGAGGCATTCGGGGACTGATCGCATGATTGGGGGCGGTAAAAGAATTACTAGTTATTAACAGTAAGAACTGGTTCAGAACCCGTTCGTTACTGGTTCTTTGGCATCGGCATCGGGACTACCTACCGGCATCATCATTTTTTTTGAGCTGTTAGGACAGACTGGACACTTTTGTTTGCGGGCGACTTTTTGTCGGCTGGTGGTACAATGGGTGCACCAGCATTGCATTCCTTTTCCTAATTCAAATGTATGGCTTTATTTGTCTATTTACCCTGAGAGTGGAAATGTTAGAGGCTGCAGATGCTCATTTGAACAAATTGCTAACAATTCCAAGCTTATTTTTGCAATGGCGTTCTGATCAAAATTTGTTAATTAAATGCAATATAAACATAAACAAACTTAATAATTCTATCTTATTCCACTTAATCAAAAACTACCATTTATCGCTACAGATCATAAAGGAACACCCCAAATCCGTTTTTCAAACCTCTCACAAATTTCAACCGCGACCTGAAAAAGTCGAAACCCCGTCGTATTAAAAAAAACGAAAACGGAAACTAAACTAAAAACCGCCTAAAACTAAGTACTGTTTTTTCATTTTTCTACTTTCAACTATCGCTCCACTGGTTAAGCTTAAGCTCAAGCATTGAAGGTGATTTACTTCGATCGATTGATTTTGAAGATTTGATAAGTGTAATTTTTTTTTAATTGCTTAATAAATTGCAAATAATTATTAAGTTTAAGAATTATTAAAAATTTTTATGTTTATAACGCATGTAATTAACTAATTTTGCTCAGAACAATAATAAACTTGGAATTGCCTACATGTGTTAGCAATTTTTCGCCTCAGGGTGAATGGAAACAAACTCATAAATTTGAATTAAGAAACGGAATGAAAAAAGGTGAACCTGGTGGTACCAATTGTACCACCAGCGGTCAGTGTACAGAAAAATGCAGGTCAAATACAGAAGCTGTAAGATATTACGTTTGTACAGGGGAATTCTTAAAATTCATTAATTAAATGCGATAAAAAACCTCATTAATGCTTTTTTATTCAAAATAGTAAAAATCTGCCACTTTTCGCAGAGAAACCATGATCATACAAAAAAACAGCAAACCGGTATTTCCACTTTCACTCCATTGCATTTCAGTTTCGGAAAATTACTGTTAGGCACAAAGTAACTAAAATCCTGTTCGCGGAAGGAAGGAATGAAGCATCTGAACTCCTGAAGGTCCTGAACCGAGTCTGCGCTCTAATTCGATTTGTTATCGGTTCCGATCGCTGAAAAAGTTTCTTTTTCTTTTCACCATACTTACTTAATCCTATTCATAATCTTATATGCTCTATCTACACCATATACAATAACAAAATAAATCCATATCAATTCAAGACATAACTAATAATTAATTATTATCCATCAAACTTTTCATAGCATCCAAAGAATTTAAGAAAACCTAAGTCATATAAAAAACAAAAATAAAACATAAAAAAGGAGAATTTTGGAGGAATTCTGAACTTACAGCGTTTGCGCTGGACATTGGGAATAATTTAAGCAGATTATTTTCCTGTACGAATCCTTCAGCTCGTCATTAAATATTGTGTTATCGTTGTTTTTGTCTCTCTACAAACTGTTATGTGTGAATTTTTAATCTATGACTACCATTGGACCCAACAATGCCATGTGAAAGAGATGTTTCAAGAATCCGTGAAAAATAATCAGATTCCGGAGGATTCTCATTCTCCGAAACAATTAGCAGTAAGTACCCTGTAGATCTATATTAAAAAAATGTTATTGTTTCATGGCTAATTGTTTTATTGATTTTTGTAATGACTCTTCCAGTCCTGAAGAAGGCGGTAAAAATAAATCGCCGAAAGCTTGGTAGATGAAAAAGTTTATTTTTGTTTTCACCACTGCTCAGAATGCCCGAATCCCCAAGAAGGAAACGCATCTCTTAATTATTCGTTGTACCGGTCACGAAACTCTCACATATCTTGTTTTCAATCTAACAACAAAATATTTAATTACCAAAATAAAATACATTTGTTACGTGTTGCGCCGTCGTAGTTGTCCAAGTAAAACAAGTTGGAACAATAATCGGAATAACTACAGGCGTACTTATTATAAAGCAATTACATACATATATAAATTTGAAAAAAATTAATAAAATTTTCCTCAAAATAGGTCTAATGTAGGTATGTAATGTGGGGCTTAAATTTAATTAATTCGTAAATGTAATTTAAGTATCTAGAAAACCCAGGGCTAAATTTTGAAATAATTGAGGGTAAGTATATACTGACGATAGCACGACAGCTCAAATGGCGAAATATTTAACAAAAGTATATACTGATATTCTTAGTAGAATATCAGAAAAGGTAAGACCCACACAGGTAAGTTGAAAAAAGGCCAAGTAAGTCGGACATTCAGGATGGAAAGCCAGACAGTGGGATTCAAATCGGTATAAACGGTATACAAAAATCAGTAAAACCTACAGATTGCTCGTAATATGCAGGACATATTTTAAAAGACTGCATATTGCTCTTGATATTCAAATCGGCAGGGAATAGATGGTAGATCAGTTGCCGTAGAAATGCTTACCAACAAACAATTACTTAATTACATTCAGATTTATAATTCATAAACATCCTAACAAATCAGTAAGCAAATCTGCCGTGACTTTACAAAGTAGACAAGAAATCACGCACATTTATTTTACAGGAAATAAAGAACTTTCAATTGGAAGACTTACAAGAGAAGCAGAAGGATGATGATGAAATGGACGTGTCAGATGGCGATGAACCACCGCGGAAAAGAAGTCGAGATATTTCCAATGAGGAGCGGAATAATTTAAAGGACGAAAATGATAGCTTAAAATGTCAAGTTGAAGCCTACAAAAACGAGGTACTGAATCATTAAATTTCCTAAAAATGACCTTTTGTAACTGAGTTTCATTAATATTGCAGGTTGAAGTAATTAAGATAGACAATAAAAAAATATTGGAAGAGAAAGAATTGCAAACAAAAATATTGCAACAGGCACTACAAGGCATGCAACAGCAACTAATGGAAAGCAAGCGAAAATTTTCCATAGCTGACCAACGTGTTAAAATGATGGAATCTAGATATAAAAATGATAAAGCATCTAAAGTAACTGAAATCATTAACTTAGACGACGACGATGTTGACCAGGCGGACAATGCGAGTGTTCAGTGTCAATCAGAGAGCAGCAATGCATCGGCCCTTTCAAGTGCAGAAGCCAAATTGATCGGGATCATATCCGTGTTTCTTAATGTGCATCCCTTTGGTGCGGGGTTGGATTATATCACTTCATATGTTAACAAGTCCATACATAATCTCCGACCTTCTGACATTGAAACATTAATGGTAAAATATCCAACCGTGTTTAAACAAGATTTAATCGGAATAGGTGCCAATATGGAAAGAAGATGGATATTAACAGTTTTTGGAAAAACTCAATCCATTAGGAAAAATAATGCCAGAAGCAGAGGAGATAGTGAATAGTCAATATTGTGAGAAAGAAATTGAAGAAAAGTGAAATTAGGGTTTCGTTTTCAAAGTTACAAATGTGATCATACAGCAATATATGAAGGTTTTTGGATGGTAGAACATACCAATTGCTTGATTTTTTCTTTTCTTTTGCAATAATTAATAATGTTTCTCTAAACCTTCATATTAAGGAGAGAACACGCGGGCCACACCGGGTGGCCAGCGGAAGGCAGAGGAAATATATCAGATAATATACAGTCCACAATACAGAAGAAAAAAAAATTATTACAAGCAATTCCACCTTGTAATGAGATAAGAGTTAACTAAAGTGAATTATTCTCTAACTTACGGATATAAGCATAATAGAAGGTACAAGTAAACCACCTCACATACTGCAATGTGCATATGTTGATGTGAATTTATTGCTTGTTTTAGATAAAAGAAACATCCTACGACTATGAACCGTTTTTGAAACACTTAATTCAAGAGAGTAGAGTTGATGAAATTAATTACATTCCCAGCATATAATTATTAACGAGCAAATAAAACTTACAGTGTTAACAAAGATACATTATTCACGGGGCTTTCTTCTTTTTACCTTTGCCTTCGGGCTTAGCAGGCTCCGGTTTAGAAACCGGTTCTGTTACAGTTTCCTGATCAGTTACAGTTGCTGTTGAAGCAGATTCAAGCGTAGCAACTTCTTCTTCAGCTGCAGGTGGTTCTGCTGCTTTCTTCTCTAAATATATGGAGACAGACAAATTCATGACATTGAGATATTAGAGCACTATGTACCCTTTTCAAACACGCCATAAAAATCAGCTTCAGCTTGTTTCACCATGTTATCGGAAAATACTTGATCAGAGAGGGCAGGCAAATTCTCTTGTATTTGTTCGTCGTCAATTGGCTCATTTTGTTGAGGTTGTTTTGATTTCTGTTTTAGTCGTATTTCTCTGTTTCGAGCTTCCAGAATTTTTTCTCTTCTACTTTCCCGTTCAAACATCTAAGTAATATTCGGTGTCAATTAGATTACTTGCAAACTTACTGATAAACATTTCAAATTATGCAGGCTTTCGATATTAACTAATGCGTAAAAAAAATTGGAAAATGCGTGAAAGCATTGGGTGCAGATTTAAATGATTTAGTGTGAAATATATTTAAGTTACCGCTGTTAAAAGAACTTTGTCGTTTTTATTAGAAGTGGCCAAATTTTCGCTGAATTCCACTAGATAAGTAGTGCCCTTTTGATTGCCTACAGCCACCAGGCGGCCCATATCGTGTGTTCTTATTCGTCTCAATTTTTCATCACACACTTTTACACTGAGACAAGCTTGTTTCTGTTGCTGAAGAACATCCCAAACATCCAAAATTCCGTCGGTTCTTGTTGTGAAAAATACCGATAATCTACAATTTTTTTTGGAAAGCGGTTATGGATAGTTAAATCAGTTTATAAATTGCAGTTCTTTTAACTGTTCGAGGGTTGATTAAAACAAGCAGAGCAGCTCAGATTATTGGATTACCTAGTTGGACTCCAAGCACCATCAGTGAGCATAGCCCTATGAAAACCTGTCCATATTATCGAACTTTCTCGACAATCTTCCGTCCAAATTTTAGCAGACCAATCGCCAATAGTGAGGAAATTTTTTACAAACGCCGGATTTCTCTGGAGGGCCAGTACTGGCCCCATATGGGCGTTGAATCTAGCTGCCATTTTTTCCATGGCTGTTTTACCCTTAAAAATTAAAATTGTTCGAAATTCCTGCTTTTTCAGATAGTCAAATAGATCAATTTCAATTGCGATAAACCCTACACTGAGACATAATTTAGAGACGTACATGCAACTAAAATAATTATTGATACATTAAAGATTTTTTTTTAATTACTTTGGGTTGATATTAAAAGAAAAACATTTAAATATGATTAAAATTTCAATGTAATGGTTACCGCGTTAAGTCATTATTTTAGGTATTTTATTTGCAATTTAAAATAACAAACATTTTTTTTTAATCATGACAATCAAATGTTTTTAAGTATTTGCCAAATAATTTTATTTCTGTATTGTAAAAATATATTTTACTTATTTGTTCGATTTTAAATTATGTAATTGAATTTAGAAGAAAATTCTRCATAAGTTTTATTATTTTATTTTAATTCCTTTCTAGGAAAATGTTAGCGGATCATTGTTTAAATGGGCACTGGAATGAATTGTGAAATGCAATGACTGAAAACCCAGGAATTTCGAAGAATTTCAAACCGAGAAACAGACGAAACAGTTTGGGAGAATGGGCGAGATTTCAAGTAATCAAATTTATTTGAATAACWTTTTAAAATWACAATTTTTAAATTGGCAAAGTTCAGTGGCGTCTTTTAACRATTTTTTATTTTTTCTCYTATTTTTCATTGTAGKTTTCGCTATTTTTTTTATTTGACGATGTCATTGTTGGTACCTACTGTATTATATCAAAATTCTGTATACAAATCAACCMTCTTTAATTATTTTGAATTAAAATTTCGAAAGTGTTTCCTACGATTTGTTAATTCATAACCCAAATGCAAGAGCGATTTAGATCTCTTTGCCATTATAAATTTTTATTCAGTTTGCAAAACTAAAAATTATGAAATTAAAAAAGCGGAAAAATATGGCTTAGCCTAAACCTGCCTTAACGGTCAATAATTTGCAACTTTTGAAAATTCGGTATTTCACGCTGGTACTGAAATGAATAGTGATCATGCTAAGTAGTACAAGAAATATACCTTGCGATTACACGAGATAACGATCCCTTCTTCAGTTCCAGTCATAAATCGAGTAGGAATTGTTGATTCATATTCCAAGCATGATGCCCCTAAAGCATTACCTATCGCTTGATCCTCGTCTTTTGCATAATCTAATAGCAGAGTGTCTGTGGGTTCACTAAGTTTTCTTATGTCCCACCTTTGACATTGAGACCATGCAATAAAAGCCGTAGAAATGACTTAATAAAATGTACCATTTAACTTGACCATCTGTGGACGCGCTAAAAAACTCCGCTCCGCTCTTGGAATGAATCCACAGAACTGAATGCACAGGATCTCGAAAACTATTTTCGATTAAACTTTGTTCAACTGGTTCATATCCCTTTCTGATATCCCAAACGGCCACTTGTCCATTTCTTTGTCCGCTGACCAACGAATGGGGGTCTTTTTGATTATACTCCAAACAAACGCAGGGATGTTCAGGTTTAAGTGTGAGAAGGGGCCGATTTGGATTTTCTGGCAAGTTTTAATTTTTTAAGCTGAGTTCTGATTTAATTAACATACGAGTCCCTACCTACTTCCCATATGTAGGAGACTGCTGTTTCCTTAGGAATAGCACTTTGAAACTTGAGATTGCAGTGAGTAATAGCCAATTTTGATTGATTATCTGGGGACCAAGAGATCCAGTTAACTGGTCTGGTGGGAGTGCTTTGATCCTGATAAACATTCACAGTTCTTGCAGAACTTCTCTCCACCAGAGGAGTTGGTTCCACATCGGAGAAATACTGCTGATATATGTTGATTGCGTTGTTCTGTTGTATACAATTCTCCATGCTCTAAAAGTGCTCCTATTAAGCCAAGCATATTCACATGGGCTGTGAAAGTTTCATCACTTTAAATAGCTGCATCATTGTATGATTAAAGCCTTCATCTTTCTCGATTTTTCTCCTATAGCGCTTAGTTTGCTCTTCATCAGCAGTATTCACATCTTTTGGCCATCCGCCTTCCACATGATTCATCGAGCTGGATGTGTACTCGGCGCGCATAGTATTTAAATAGTGCTCTGCTTGAATGGGAGCACATAGTGTGCCTCTATGTACTGGATCTCTAGAAATTTATATCTTTATGGTAGCTCTAAAATAACTACAAGCAAATATAAAGAATAAGTCGTTAGATACGATTCAATGAATAACTGAACAGCTAAACAGTTAATTTTTTGTATGGATAAAAACCTTAGTATAAATTCCTTAGCGAGTTTTTTATTAGAAGGATAGTTGTCGATCAGATCCGGCCCCCTATCAGAAAATAGACACTGTCGTCCAAATTCACTGCGCTTTTTCTGATATGTGTAAGTAATATCCATTTCTACAGAACTTTTTCAATGACACTGACTGTAAATTAGCGGTGCGATTACCGTGCAAACAATAATCCACAAGTTTGATCAATAAAATTTGATTGCAGGTATAAAACATTGCATGCTCAGTATGGTGTGGTTGGGTTGGACCAAATTAATTTAAAATTCAAGGGTTTAATTTTCGGTTGTAGTTATTCTAGGATCAAATAATACAGAACTTAATCCTCAACGTTTTGAATTCGAAGAGCGTTCAGAAGAGTTAAAATTATTGCACAATTTTTCCTCACTATTAGCGATTAGCATGAAACTTTCATATTTTTCAAGTGACTGCTGTCTTCAGTTACTTGGTTTACACAAGAAATCAACAATTTTTAATATTCAAAATAATAATTAGAGCCACTGCAAAATATGGCAAATCCATGTGCAAACTTTAAGGTGTTACAATTAGGCTGTATGTAGAAAGTTAATAAATAACAATATCAACAGTTAATTTTATTTGATAGTGCACTCAGAGAAATCAACAGTTTGGTGTTGTCCAGTGGAAAATATGCCCACATTCTTAATTAACAATCTCGTAATGAACTGATAAAACATCTTTCTTAATTTTAAACATGATACGCACATAGTCGTACATATGGCAGACTTACTTTGTATTGAAGGAACGCATGAATTGAAAAAAAAATATATACAAATTCAAATATTTTGTTTTTTGTAAAAAATCGCTCAAACATATTTTAATTTATATTTTTGGCTGCGGTTTTTCCCATGGAAAGTTACCATCTACTTTTCGTTTTTCAAAATGAAAACATTGCATCGCATTTTTTTTTGCATCGAATTGTAAGTAGTTGTACTTAAATAAAAAATTGATTAGTTTTGCTTACCACAATGAGACATCATTACAGAAGCACTAAAAATATATAATAATAGGTATAAGTATACAGTAGACAGGGTGTCCCGTAAGCACATGATCAAAAGGGTACTGCGATATTATTTGGATCAAAAGAAGACGGTCTGACCTAACTTTTTTTTTAACAAAAAATGTTTGGCTCCTCTGCTATTGATGGTCAAGTTCTTCAAAAAATGTATCTTTTTTGAAATCTCGGGAGAATGGTACGATGTATTTTGGTGAAACTCAATGTGAATTGGTTCTTATGTAAAACTCATATTTTGATGAAACCATCGAGTTCAGCCGTTTTGGACAAGTGGTGAATTCTTGAGTGTCGTGGTACAAAGACTACCAGAACTTTTTATTTGGTGGATGGAATCAATTCATTTTTTCTTGGTTTATGCACTAATAATTTATTCATAATTTTGTGCTCTTTGTAAAATCTTGTAGCATTCATAGTTTTAGCGCAGAAATATGTCGGTTTTCTTGCCACTTAACAATGTTCAACAAGACATCAATCCGTTTTCGAGTAAAAAACATATTCATGTTGATTCATAATGTAAAATTTCATCATCCAAATGTTTTTTTACAGAAAAATGGTTGGTCGTACGACAGAATAAAGGAGTATTTTTCTGCAGATCTGAACAATCAATTAAGACGTCTTTTTTATTTTTCAAAAAACCAGTGGCGTACAATTTTTTCTTCAAAAATATCCAATAACATGGCGGTTTGCACGCCACTGCCAAAAAAAAAATTATTTAAAATAAGCATCTCGTACAGCCTTCACTGTCCATAAAGTTTCATTAGAATTTATCAAACTACCTGAATTTATAATTTTGTATTTTTTATGGAAAAGTTTGACGCTCTGTATTTCAAAAACTAAGCTTTTGCGGACTCGTGTACATCTGTTTCTTTACATATTTGCGCATGGTCTATTTACCCCTCAATTTGCAGTGCTTATTTCTGAGACACACAAAAATTCAAAATAAAGTGCACTAACCAACATAATCTTTATATTTTATTACGATTTCTATTGTACATCATTGTTGCTCAATGAGTCGAGAATAAATACTTTCTCGTCTATGGCCTTGGCCTGTCGTAAGACGTTTTTACAATTCTCAATTTGATGTATTCTCCTTTCTACTGCCTTTGAAATATTCAGTTTTTCGTCACCGTTGCTGCTTCTATTTACCGAAACGCCTGATGTTGACGACTTGTTTTTGAGCAAAGGCTTGTTCTTACATGTTTTAAGACTCACTAAAGAACTCTTAGATTGAGTGGTGCCGTTTTTTACTGCTGATGGAGAATTTTGCAAATGCAAACTGTCTTGAAGTAGACCTTCTTCCAGCTTGTCGTATATTTGCTGCAGTTTGTTAACATTTAGCTCTGTTGCTCTATACTGAGTAATTAGAGAGTCGATATGATTAGAATCTCCTGACATGTTTCTAAAATTTATATTTGTTGAATTTATTGTTTACAAACGGTGTTTTTTACTTTAATACAGCAACTGGATATAAACTGAAATAATACATGAGTAAAAAAGACTTACTAGATATCAGTTACTGCTTGCAGATGGTAATAACTTCAGCAAAACCGTCGATTTATTTTAAAAATTCCTTTTTACAACGTACACAAACTGTTTACACATTTTTAAAACACTTTAATTTGAAAATGACAAATATGTTCTCTCAGTCACGGTGACGTTTAATTGTTTGTTGGTTATATTCATCATAGATAAAGACGAGTTCATAGACGATTTCATACAGTAAAGTAAGTAAGTAAAGTTTTTTTTTCTCTATGGATAAAGCCCATGATACAAGGAATATTATCAAGGAGCACTTCTGTCTTTCCTAAAGTCAAACATTTTTGAGGCGAAATACCCAACAAGCAGTTTGTAAAAAAAATAATTTGTTGAAATTTTCAAATTTTGAAAAAAAAAAACAGCACGAAATCTAATTGGTTTGGCCAGGATCACACGCAACGTGTTAACGTGCTATCCTCCAATAATGCAATAAACAATAAATAGCAATAAACAATAAAAAATGCAATTATTCGAACGGATCCCTGCTCCTGAAAATCCCTAATACGAATCGTTTAGCCAAAAATAATTTGCTTAAATATTTAACAAACAGGTGATTTAATCACCTCTGCGAAATGCACCCTTATGCATAATACACTACATGTATGTATGCTGATTAAAGAAAACATTTTTTTGGAAAAACAGCGCAAAATCTAAGTGGCTTGGCCAGAAAAAAAAAATGCTAAACGCTCACGCAAAAAGTAAAATGCTAAACTTACCGAAAACTGCATTGTACCAACTGGAAAAAAATCTGTTTTATTACATAAACGTAGTCGAAAACCCAGTGATTTGATTGGAAAGAAAAAGAAATAGGAAACTGAACAAAAGTTTAAATGTTTCTCGAAAACTCAACTCAGTTCACGTTAAGGGTTTATAGATTAAAAATCCTTCTTACCTGCTTTTTGCAAACTGGCGCCCGATTCCGCTCAAAACCCCAAAAGCACACACTACACGAACACACAATGAAAATCCATACAAAATTGAAAATAAATGTGGGTTACTCTCAGCAATTAACAGGTAAAATGGTCGACCGTTGTTGCCTAAATGGCACTAAATTGGTACTTTTATCCCGTTTATGAACGAAGAATCGACGACCAATTTGATCCCTTGCCCATAATAGACTGAACTGAATCAGCTTTCCGATAAAACTCGTGCGAAATTAAGGTGTTATCACATAAAAAAACTCACCGAGGTACAGAACTTACATAATGATTGTAGCGTTTGCTCGCTGGCCCTTTGAGTGACTCATTGTATTACTATGCTTTTTTTTATTTCAGTCTTTTTCTTATTGATGATTTTCTAGAAGTTTTCAGTCCGCGATGGAACTGGTTTGGATATAGCGTAAACAAAGTTGCGTTTTTGGGTAAAGATAAACAAACATCGCCGTTCATGGGGCGACTTTTGAATGCTAAATTAAATACTCGCTCTCCGATCAATCGTTTGCTCAATTGTCATGAAACGTGAAAACCTTTTCAGCTTGATCTATTGTGAGATGCTGCTCAATTTTTAGCAGATCGAGCAGAATGAATGTAAACCATTCGCAAAATATGCCATGATTTGTAAATGCTTCACTTTGATTGCACTATTAAGAGCGACGGAAAATTCGCACTTTTACTCAACTGCACGCTATCCTTTAAAAATTCAGAACTTCTCATTTAGCGGAAGTAGCAACTTGAAACTTTCACACCCTATGGAAGACTCATGTGGTTGACAGCCCTTAAATTTCCACTTCACTTGCACTAAAGTCTGATTTTTGACAAAGGTTTGAAAAATGAGTCAAAAATTTGCATTGAAGATGTGATTGCACCCCTATTTTACATAGTAAAGCAGTCTACTGTGGCAACTACTGTTGGATAAAGTCTACTCAAATGGTCGATTCCATATACTTATTATTACTTATAATAGATAATCTGGCTGATCCAGATTCAAGATTCAATATAGTTTAAAAAATGCCTAATAAATGGCCCTCCAATGAGCCCAGCTCATGATTTGTCATAGCTTTTTTCTGCTGCAGCATTAAAGCGACGGAAAACTTAACTTTATTACTGTGGTAATTTGGGATTTTCTAACTTTTTAAGCGTCTTCAGCCGATATTACGACGCGTTTTAGGATAATTTGATAATCTGTGGAAACGAAAAGAAAAAGTGGTCCAATCCAATCTCTACAATGAACTGTATACTATATACTACTCACTGATACTACTATGATTTTTGGTACTTGTATATAATTCCAAAACAAAATTCATTCCTGGGTTTCAGTCATTTATTGTCTCTATTTATCAATTAAAATACGTTTCGGTGTATTTTTCCACCATCATCAGTTTTTATGTGTAGCGTTGTTGCTGCTTTAAGCCTTGTCATACATTTCAATGAAGATGATGGTGGAAAAATACACCGAAACGTATTTTAATTGATACATAGAGACAATAAATGACTGAAACCTAAGAATTAATTTTGATTTGGAATTGAAAGACAGTCAGGAAAGTATATACAACTTTTTTTGGTAGCTATCGTAAAAAATCGGTGGACTCATTTTTCTTTCATTATTATAAGGACTCCATTTTTCAAAACTTGAATTTTTATGAACTTACAGCAAACTTATAAGCTTACTATAAACATATATATATATAAAAGTAACATAAGAGTCAATAGGTATATTTATAATATTTCTATGGACATTACAACGCATTGTTAACAAAAATAAAATAATACACACAAAAAATAAATAAAATCTTCATCATACATATTGCTAATAAAATTATCAATACTAATTTCACGAACTAAACACCTTTTTTTCTTTTAAATAAGAATATCTCCTCAGCCTTCCAAAAAACCCTTAACTTAAAAAATGTCAGTTGCTCTTCTGATATTACGGATTCTGAAATTGTTTGCTCTACATTAACACCTAAATAGATGTCAGAAACGGGTAAGAAATTATTAGGATTTTTAAAGTCAATGTTGGAAATTGGAACAGAAAGTAAGTAATTCCTTTTTAAAAAACAGTCAAATAGATTTTTGAATATGTTTCTCATATAAAATGTGTTATATTGTACATTAAGTAATCCTTCGTAAATTTTTTAACTTTTATTTGTTACTTTTCGGTATAAATCTGCATGGTATCGGTAGATTCCTTGACAAATCGGTAGATCTACCGAAAACTCGATACACCTGGCATCTCTGCTAGTGGTAGAGCGGTAGCTCTTATGAAAACGGTAGACCTGGCAAGCCTGAACATAACTTTCGATCAGCTGAGAGACGCGATAACAGCGCGCTCACGGCCTGAGCAAAACATAAAAACGTAGAACTATCATTGGGTTATCTGTTTTGGGTGTAGTGTTTTTGTATGAGTAATTACTGAAAACCCTTCAGTTTTCAGTCTTTTGCTATACAATTTCTTGATTAAAGTGTAGTAATTCGTGTCGACTGACCAGAGTCCGCGAATTGTTGAAAAGGTGAGAAATTTCCCCTATACAGCTTTACTAAGGGACAAATTTGGATATCGACACCCCAAAGCCTCTCTTTCCATAAGTCCAAGAAGATTCATGTTTAAAGGAACGTATTTATTAATTTTGAGAGAAAAGGCGCATTAGCTCGTAGAGTTTACATAATTCAAGGCAATAGTTGCAGGCATTTGAGCACTTTACATTAGGTACATTAGATTGGGGACCCCCACTGGAAAATTCGTTTTTCGAAGAATGTAGGAAAACTGATGTCAGTATTTGGGCCTCAATTTTTCAGACCAAATTGCAACAAATTGACGAATGGGACGTCAATATACCTTTTCTGTTTCAGAAATACAGGACTTTTATCAGACCACTTTTGCTCTGTACCCTTTTTCGTATGATTTTTAAAAAGTTAATAAAGGAACATTTCCAAAGAACTGTTTGTCATTTTCTAGTTCATCAGGCCCGCGAGTTTGAAAGAGTTACCTGATGTACATAATGAGTTAAATTTACAAAAATAAAATTTCCAGAATCCAGAAACTTCCTCTCCCAATAAATATTACAAGCAACAATATCATAAAATACAAGCTTATATGAAAATACAAAGAATCTACAAGGGGCCAGAGTAATGCCAAACTTACCGAAAGCTGCATTATTCCACCTGGAAAGAAAGAAAAACATTCTTCAGTATAACAGAAACTTAGTCCAAATCGCTGATATTTGAAGTCAGCAAAGGAAACAAAGAGAAATAGAGAATGCCATAAAACATTAGTTGCTTCTGCAAAAAAACGGAACTTTAGTTCAAGCTTAGGAATTTATAGATAAAGATCCTTCTTGCTAGGTAAATCTAATCAAACAAAAATCAGAAAATGTCACAAAAAGAAGTATTAATGCACTTTTGTCGTCGCGAAAATCGAATTCTTATGATAAACATCTTCGTCATTTTTCGATTTCCGTTCTTAATATCGGCACAGAAATTTCACATCATGTTATGTTGGTCTATCTTCTTAAGCGTTATCTTAGTTGCTTCTTTTTAATTTCAGATGACTGAATCCCATAAATTCGGCTCATTGAGCCCTATAACATGCCATACGTGGAACAAAGATAGAACTCGTAAGTTTTGCAAAATTTCCCAGTAATCAGTGTTAAATAAGTATTCAATTTCTAGAAATTGCATTTTCTCCCAACAACCAAGAAGTGGAAGTGCACCAGAGAAATGGCAATGAATGGAAGCTTCTCGATACTCTAAATCAGCATGATTTGAGAGTAATGGGCATTGATTGGGCTCCTATTACGAACAGGATTGTAACATGTGCGGCCGATCGTAATGCGTACGTTTGGACTCAGGATGCTTCTGGAAAATGGAAACCAACTTTAGTGTTGCTGCGGATCAACCGCGCTGCAACTTGTGTAAAGTGGTCTCCCAATGAAAATAAGTTTGCTGTCGGTTCTGGGGCCCGCCTGATTTCAATCTGCTATTTTGAAAGTGAAAACGACTGGTGGGTGTCCAAGCACATTAAGAAGCCGATCAGGTCCACTGTGTCCACGTTGGACTGGCATCCAAATAATGTCCTGCTGGCAACAGGCAGTGCAGATTATAAGCTCAGAATTTTTTCGGGATTTATCAAGGACATTGAAAAGCCACCTGAGCCAACTCCATGGGGCGTAAAAATGCCGTTGGGGCAATTGATGGCTGAGTACATTAACTGTCCTGGAGGCGGAGGATGGATTCATTGCGTCAGCTTCTCTCCCGATGGATCCAAAGTTGTATGGGTACGTTATACTAGCAAACCAAACGATTTCTCGAATCGTTATTTTAGAATACATTTTGATTTCTAGGTAGCCCATGATTCGTCAATTAACTTAGCTGATCCAACCAAAGGTAGCGGTTTCATTAAGCTGAAAACCGAGTTCTTGCCATTCCTCAGCTGTACTTGGATCAGCCCCCGGTCAATAGTCGCGGCTGGTCATAGCTGCGTTCCAATTTTATACACAGTAGGTGCCAATGGTCAGCTCGTTTACGGAGCGAAGTTGGACACTTCCCAAAAGAAGGAGTCGGGTGGTTTATCTGCAATGAGAATGTTCCATTCTCTAGACAAGCAGGCAAGAGTCGAAACGTCTGACACCAATTTGGATTCAATCCATCAGAATGCAATTTATTGTGTATGCATTTATGGCGGTGATAAGTCCAAAGCCAACAAGATCAGTACTTCTGGTCTTGATGGACAATTAGTCATTTGGGACATTAATTCCCTGGAAAGGTCCATTCAAGGATTGAAGATTGAATAATTTTTAATTGCATTTTTACCTAAGAAATATACAGAATTATATGTCATAAATAATACGTTAATCTTGTTTGATTATACACAAACTCAGGATGCAACCGATAGAGTATTTTACCTCAACCTTGAAATACTTGTAGGCGAGTTCTAAGGCAAATGCAATATACAAGGTTTTGTTTCTGCATTATTAATCAATTACCAATATGATTGGAAAAAACATATAAACCACAAACTGTTTGGTCGCAAATTAAGCGGCCTTATAGTTCCGTTCAGTACATAAAACTGTAATTTTCGTACAAATATCACAATTTTACACGCGTTTTTTTTTAAATGAATTGATTGCTTCTGACTTAAGAAGCATCGCAATATTCACATGTAGAGTAACAATACTATAAAAAACATCGTCGGTTAAAGAACGTGATTGCTCAAAAATCGCTAAAAATGAACAGAAAATAAGGATTATTTTGAAGCTTGTAGAGCAGTTTTTAATTTCATACAATACAATATATCCGCATTTGTTTATAGAATGGATAAACAAAGGATGGGCCAACTAAAAGGTCGCACCCCTATTTATGACTTTTCTGGTAGATTTAGAACAAAAACATTAAAACACGTCAACTTTGATTTTTCAATATCTTGTCGACAAACTCTGCATTATACAGAGTGTTTCATAAACAAGATACTACGTCTCACTTTTGGTTGAATTTGGTTGGTTTGGTGGTATTTTTTGCGATATTGTAGCCTCAAGTAATTACCGAATTATCGCTAGGTTCAAATGTTAGTGGAATACCGTTTTTAATGGTACCCACCTAAAACTCGCAACTCTTTTTCTACATCATGAAGATTCATAGCGAATATGTTTCATTCAATAATTGCCTTAAAATCGAAGTATTAAGCAAGAACAATATTTATTAGGCATGTTTATATACATGGACTTCAAGGTAGAAATAAATGTTGAAAATGGCGCTCCTTTTATCTATACAGTAATGAAGATTCTGTTCAAATATTTTGCGGATATTTACCAAGTTGTCTACAACACTACGGACATGTACTATGTACCGGTCTGTTGTAATTTGTGTGCACTCATTTGTAGGCTTCACTGGCCGATCGACATTCCTAATTTAGTACAAACTTCTCATAGAATCCAAAAATTACATAAACTCGTAGGTTTCCATTTAAATCAAAACTGTGATTTAGTATCTTGTTTATGAAACATCCTGTATGTTAACGTATTCGAGCATTTTTCTAAATCTAGCACGAGAGTCATAAATAGGGGTCGGAGCTTTTCGTTAGCCCACCCTGTATTATTTTGAGACACGCATTACTCGTAGAATTAGCAAAGTATATTTCTTTTTGGTGCAACTGGTGTCTTCTACATTTCTTACGAAATTAATGGATCATCAAGTGTTGATGAAGAGTCATTCTTTAAATAAAAATTATTGTAAACCGGTTGTGATTAAAATTTACGGCGCCCTGCAGGTTAATTAAGTTGCACAATTTACGCAGTAGACTCCTGGGGAAACCGCAAAAAAATAGTTTTTACAAAATCCATTTTCTCTTTCTTTAATTCAATATTCAACACATTTGCGAGGTTCTACAAACCAACAAAAATTGTCCTAGCTAACACCCTGTATAATTTGGTGAAATTAAACTTTTACAAAATAATAAAACCTAATTGTAATAATAAATTATTACTTACATAGATTCAATAGATCCCAGAATATTTTCAACGAAACTATACAATCAGTTTGTAGTGGCACAGTATTTTAATGGAATCACAAGCATTTTCCGCAACAAGCATTGAGGCTGACTTCTTCAGGCTTATGGTTTGGAGTCCATGGGCCTAGACTGGCGTTTGCATAAAAGTCCATTGGGTAACTCTTGTTCTCTTTGTGCCATTGAGCATCTCCAATGGTGATTGCCAATTCATAAGGCGTGAGAAATGGTTTGGAAAATGCTGTACCCCAATCAATCGACAGTCTGGGGCATGCAATTTGTACGAATGCGTCTAGTTTTGGAAACAGGTCGATTTTCTTTGGAAATATTTCCGATAAGAGAATGATTACTGATGTTTTTCCCACATCACTTAGACGTTTACTTAGGTGCTGAACTACTTTGGGGCTACCTTGGCGGCCTAACGTTCCCATAATAACTCCAAACGTGCCTGCGTGTTTTGCCTTCTCTATGCAATTTTTCCTAATTTCTTCCATTTCACTATGATTATAATTCTCATACGTAAACTTTTTACTGTATGGGTCATACTTGAAAGCCTGCACTTTGGGATTGGCTATCATAGCCGCTTCTAAATGAAACTGCCCATCTCCTAAGTAAATTAATGTTTCGCAACATTTAAGTACTGGCGCGGTACATCCTAATATCTCTCCTGGCGACAATGGCTTGAATTGAGGAATTGAAACGTTATTATATCCTTCTTCAGCTAACATTTTGTGCACTACTTGCAACGTCGTTACGAACTGTATGGTGCTGACTAGACCCATTTTTTTCTCTTTGGGGAAATTCATTTTTATCGTGTCTATGAAATGCAGTGGGTCGATCTTTATGTCCACAAATACATACAGCATTTTAATTCCACTCGTGGGATCTATAGGAACTAAGCAGCTATGTCCGTAATGTATTAACAATTCAACTCCTAAAGCCTTAGCAGTCAAATCGTCTATACAACAAGCTCCATAGGTCACATCTCCCATTATAATGGAATCGGCATTAGTGAATTCCTTAATAATATCTGCTATAGTAGTGGCGAATAACAGCAGCCCCTCAGGCATCTGCAAAGCCACAACTTGGGCCTTTAGCTCTTTGATTCTCCATATGGTTTTTGGCAATTCAAAGTTGTAATTTTTAGGCAACAAAGCTGTAGCTTCCTGAAGCTTGGGGTCTTTAAGCAGACTTTCTGGCACTTTTGTTACCTTGGTTGCTTTAAAGACTTTCCTTTGGGGCTTCGCTTTCACAACTATCGTTGTTTCGGACATATCTGTGAATTAAACTTCGGTTAGATGGTGTTTGAGGTCTTAAACAAAAACTCACTTACTTTCTCTGCTTATTTTAACCAGTTAAAACAGTTCACTTCTGCAGCATACTCACAATGTTTTCGAACAGATTATTTGGAGGTTAGTGGTCGACGTGAGTAGTGCAAGTGCACAATGGACGACCGTCCATGAATCGATAAAGTAGGTCTTTTGAACGAAACGAAGACAGACTGATTAGAAGGAAAGAAGAGAGTGACAATCGAAGAGGTTAAAAACTTAGGTGACGTTGAAAACTCTGTTTATTCATACTCTCGCTCAATTAAATAACTCAATTTTTATTAAATACAATAAAAAACCAGATCAAATGGTATGTTTCAATACATCCTCTACTGGCACATTGATGGGCACTTAACAAATTGTTTTTTTGCAGGCGGACGTAGCGAAATTGATCAGATACACTTCACCGGTGAGTCCAGCAGTTTTTCCACACTTAACTCTGGTTTTACTGGGCATAGGGATATTCTTCACTGCGTGGTTCTTCGTTTATGAAGTGACAAGCACCAAGCAAACCAGGAGCCTTACAAAGGAATTCGCCACAGCAGTTGTTGCCTCAGCATTCTCTGGATTTGGAATCGTGTTTTTACTCCTTACTGTTGGAATATATGTTTAATTCCCCTTTGATTTGTTATATTTGTTTCACACCAATGTATCTTTCCACACACGTAAGACTGTATAATAATTTATAAAACTGTCATTATAGAAGATTGTTCTATTTGCTTGAGTATATGAACTTGTTTTACTTCCCTCACATAGCAAAATCCTATAATACGTATTATTGCTCTAATAACTGCATCACAATATTGTATTAGTTTCTATAGCAACATATACTCCGATACAAACATTTGAAAAGGTTATCAGTTTCAAGACCGAAAAATGCAGTTGAAATACTTGCAAACCATTTTGGAGGCTCAGGTGATTTAAAACTGCAATAAAGCGCATTCAAGTTAAAGAGCTAGATTTCAGGAGCAAGATTTCAAGATTGTCGCTCTGTGTTGGGCTCCCAATAATCAAAAGCTAGCTGTTGCTACGTGCGACAGGCAAGTGATACTTTTCGATGAACAAGGCACCAAAAAAGACAAATTTTCAACGAAACCGTATGATCCCGATGCTGGAAAAAAGTCCTATATAATTACTGGGATTGCCTTCAGTCCTGATTCTACCAAAATTGCCATTGCGCAAAGTGATTGTATTGTTTATGTGTACAAAATTGGAGAGAAATGGGGCGACAAAAAGGTAATGAAATGCCTTTCATACCATACGGATTAATTAAAATTTCGGTGCAAAATTTCTTGAATTTTACCACAAAATAGAGAAAATGGTAATACTTCTGTATATTTTTTAAATTTACATGCCTACGTAAAAATTGTTAATGTATGAAACAAATCAGCCGAAAAACTAGTTAAATGGAAATGGACACTACAATATTGGCCTTCTATACATTTTTTTTTTAATTATTTGCTACGAAAAAAGTTTTTCCGATTATTCAGACATTTGCAAAAAAGTATGATGTAACAATTTAACAATGCCTCCACATACCACATACTTTTCGCGGCGAGCTTATAAAAAGACACGATTTAAGTTAAGTAGTTCTTGATAAATTTGGCAAATTTTAAATGGGGCGATTTCTGAGAAAAAAAAGTTCAAAAATTCACGTTCAGTATTATTTAATTTATATTTTTTAAATATTCATCAAGTTTACTTACCTGTAAAGATTTTTTCTGATGGGAAGCACAAAGCCTAAAACAAAAATTAAAAGCGAAAGTTTTGCGCTTTATTTGATGAAATGGACAAGTTGAAAATTAATATGGCGCACCCGAGGCAAAGTGTTTAAACTTATCTTTAATCCTTATTCGTCTGTAAAAAAAACAACTACAGAATCGCCGCTTCGTATGTTTGTAGAAAGCAAATAATAAATAAACTTTAAAAAATATATCATCGTAATAGCTTTAATTTTTTTATGCCCTTAGGTGACTCAATTTTTTCAATTATCTATGTTTAGGGCGTACCCGCAAAAGTAATAATCTCTTTAAATAGTTATCCATGTGCCATCACTCTAATTGGTGCCACGAAAGCGTTAATGGAGACGTTTTTTTTATGAAAATCATAAACCGTATTATTAAATCTAACAACTGAACCAACACCCCCAATATATTTGGGCCATCAGCTGGGAATACATACATCGTTATTCGTTATTAAGTAAAAAATACGTTCAGCTAAATGAAAAAATACTTCAAAAGTTCTATACATTTCACGCTCCATGTATTAACTCAGTTAATACCTAGGTGCACCCTAGCAGCTCTAAAACAACATATTAAAGTCAAAATAAAGACGTAATTGAATTTTCTAGGCAATATGCAACAAATTTCCACAACCCTCACCTGTAACTTGTGTTTTGTGGCTTTTATGCGGCCCAATAATTTGCGGATTACAGGATGGAAAAGTTCGAGCGCTTCAAATAAAGTCAAATAAATCTCAAAGCTTGTTTGCTTCAGACAGTTTAGTGGTGTCCCTGGCCTCAAATGCAAAAGGAACAGGTAAATATATTAAATTATTATGCAGGCTGTTCAAAGTCACGCCTGCTTCACTCTGTAGGTCTCTAAAAACCGTTAAATTCCTCCCCATATAAGACAATTCAGTTAACCATCGATGCGCTACTCATATATAAATGGTTATCGCACATTTAACTTATACATGTATAAGCTGTGTTGTGTTTTATATAAAGAATTATCTGTAGATGAAAAACGTTGCCCAAAAAAATATAATTTTATATTTTCTATGATCAATCACGGACTTGAAATCTAAAGTACAAAAGCATTTGCTGGCTATTTTACAAGAAAAAGTAGCTGTTCTAACAGTGAAAATCGGCCTTTTTGAATAGAAAATTCGAATATTCTTTATTGACCTTTATACTTTTACAGTTAAAATAGATACAGTTTTTTTCACTTAAGAGAATTTTGAAAACATCCAGAAAACGCTTAGATTAATAAAACAACGCAATACACAACTTAACATTTTAAGTGGTTTTAACATTGTAAAATAAATTACGTTATAAAGGCCGCTTTAAGAAGGAAGAAGCGGACAAAGGAAACTTAGTTTTCATTAATAAGCTAAAATTTTTGGAAACATTTCAGGTTTTCTTTCTGGGCACATTGACGGAAATATAATTCGTTTCTTCGTCGCAAATGATCCAGACAGTGAGGGTGAGGCCCAAGGGCGTGCGGCGTTACATTCTGTGCCCCCTTTTGCTCTAGCGTGGCCGCAAGGCCACATATTTGCCGCAGGATGTGATAAAAGGGTTTGTATCATCAATAACATTGGAAAAACTGTGAAAACGTTCGACTATAGCAGAGACAATGACGAGCACGACTTTGTTTCAGCCATCAGCAGCCCCAGTGGACAGGTATGTAATATGCCTGACTTATACGTATGAAATATTTTGCGTCAAGTTTGTGTTTGGGATGAAGCTGAGAAATCCATATATCTGGTAGATTTTTAAGTTGTTAATATTTGAACAGTTTTCATGTAATAAACAATAAAGTTTTAAGCTTTATTACTAAAATTCAAATATATTTGATTCAGGCTGTTACGTTGGGTAGTTTTGATCGATTGCGAACATACATATGGAATACTAGAAAGTCTATTTGGGATGAAACTCCTGCCAAAATAATCAAAAACTTTTACACTGTAACCGCCTTAGCGTGGAAACGAGATGGATCGAAGGTAACGTGTGGTGGTTTTTGTGGAGCTGTGATGATGTTTGAATCAGGTAACAAACTTTCCACTGCAACCAATCCTTTATTGTAAAGACAAGAAAATAATTTGTAAAAATCACTTTTCAATTTATTTTCAGTATGCACATGTTTAATTCGAATATTTCGAAATTTTGTATATTTTTCCACAAAATTGTAGTGCACGTAGAAAAACCTCATATCTCTCTATTCTTATAGTATTTTTTCACAAATTACTGAATACACTATAGGAAGAAGGCATATATTTCAGTATTATACAATTAATTTATCTCACAAAAATGTATCAATATAAAAACTTAGCAAATAACTTTTTGTAGGTCGGAATCGCAAGAAATGAAAAAAACGGGTATTTAAATGTTGATCAATACACTCTCGTCTCGTGTTTCTAAAAGATGCAAAGAAAACAAAACTGAAAAAATCAAAAGTACGAAAAGCTCAAGATATCGGACACGATTCAGACCGGTGCACCATGGCTTTTAAATAAAAAAAATATTTCATAATTAATAAATCACAAATAACATGGTATTTTTATCAGGCTACAAATCTGTATTTTAGATGAAACTTAAAATGTTGTCGTGTAAGCCTATGCGTGTATGCGTAATTTCTGTGACTATTTTCGTATTATTTTTTTATTTAAAAAATTGTTGGCTAGATCTGTATAGTCGCACTTCTTTTATAGTTGAAAAATGAATTTTGAAAATAATCGTTACAAAAAGACACCAAGTAGGGCAAATTTGTTCAATAAAAGGTTGCTCATTTGAGATAGACAGTGTATAAAAAAACATTTTTTCATGAAGTTTCCTAAGAAATAAGCCGAAGTATATTTTATTTTATTTAGTAGAATAAAAAATGTTGTTTAACAATTTTTGCCGACTATTTGGCACTAAAAATATGACTTTTTATATATTTTATGACAAAATACTAATATGCAAATCCTGTATTTCACAAAGGTTCAAAATTTTCAAAAACCAACCTATATATATATATTAAAATTATATTCAAAAACAATAACATTTTCTAAATTAAAAAACCTTGCAATGCCCGTATCTCTTAGGGCTGTTTGGAGAGATTCTTGTATATGTTTTAAAATCTATGTTGCTTATATCTACTACATATTTGCAGTTTTAAAACGTACGGTTTGGAAGGACAAATTTGAGATAACGTACGTTGGACCGAGTCAAGTTCTTGTCAAGCCTCTGAATACAAATGAAAGGGGCGTTATTTTAAGATCCCAACATGGTGGGGAAATAGATGATGTAAAAATTATGGGACGAGATTCCTATTTGGTTGCTAAAACAGGCGAAACCCTCTTAGTTGCAGATTTGCACCGGAACTTGTTGAGTGAGGTAAGCATTTGCACACCAGCAATACGATTTAATTTTTACGGTGCGAACAAGTTTCAAAAACAAGAAAAAAAATTTATATAGGGTGATTCATAGATGACGATCGCATTTGGGAAGCTTTTGTAGGGCTCAGTTTACTAGCGTTTGGGAAATATGTTAGCTTTAATGTTTTAAATTAAATAAATCAAATTTAGACTAGAGGAAAAACCATATATTTAAATTACCCTGTTTAGTCACTAGTATCTATAGAAAAATATGATGTTACTTTCGATGCATGCTTAATTAAAAATTTATATTTTAAAGTTTGAAATGTTATCTGCATTCGAAACTTTTACAGGTACCATGGAACAATCCAGAACAGAAGGAAAAATTTTACTTTGAAAACACAAACGTGTGCTTGGTTTTTAATGCTGGCGAACTAACTTTGATTGAATATGGGAACAACCAAGTGCTTTGTTCAGTTCGAACGGAATTTGCCAATCCCCACTTGATGAGCGTGCGTTTAAACGAAAGAAATCAGCAAAACGACAACAAAAAACTGGCATATTTACTAGATTTGAAAACCATATTGATCATGGACTTGATTGCTGGCATTGCACTGTGCCAAATTAGTCACGACTCAAAAATCGACTGGTTGGAATTGAATGAGACTGCTGAAAAGCTGTTGTTTAGGGACAAAAAGCAAAGGTAAAAACTGAATTTTTAAAGTCTTTTTTTAAAGTGATTTTTCCTATAGACTGCTTCTTGTGGATATTGCTACCCAGTTAAAGCAAACCATTTATACCGACGTTACATTCGTACAGTGGGTAGAAAGCAGTGATGTAGCTGTAGCTCAATCTGGAAGCACTTTAGCCATTTGGTACAACATTGAACTACCTGAGAATCCCACAGTTATGACCGTTAGAGGGGAAGTTACGGATGTTATCAGAAACAATGGTAGAACAGAAGCTGTTTGTGTTGACGGCAACCATACTTTTAATATTGAGCTGGATGAAGGACTTGTTGAGTTTGGTAAGTTTAACTATTTAGGACACTACATATTTGCTTTGGGCGCAGTCTTTTTACCAAGATATAAAGATCAGTAAACATGACCATGTTATTTGATGTAACCGTTCTAGTGCAGTTCAGTTAATAATTAATTGATACAATAATAGTCAAAGCAGCATTAAGATCGTTTTTCTTTATGAATTATAAAAATATTTTATGAGTATGATTCAAATACATGCATGATAAATAAAAAAATATATATTCGTTGGTACCTTTCTAGCTGGATTGTATTGGCATAAACCTAAATAATTATATTTTTAAATTACTTTTTAAACCTCAATGCGTTTAAATAGCGCAGCAGCTTTTGCCTTAAGAAATTCCTTAATAATTAGATGAATTCAAGAAATGTTTGAGCTGCACAATACAGGGGTGTTCCATTGCGTATCAACTTCTAAAATTATGCAACTGAAAGAAAGCACGAATATTGATAATAATGAGTTTATTTACACCAATTTCTTTACATTATCTAATAATCGAGTCAATAAACTAATAACTGAGAATGCCGTCGTCAGTGGGTCACCCTGTAAAATGAAAAGAATATTTTACTTTTTACAGGTACTGCTATAAATGATAGCGATTATAGCAGAGCTATTCTGTTTTTGGAAAACATGGGAAAATCATCGGAATCAGATGCCATGTGGCATACGCTTTTGGCCATTGCAATGAAACAGCAAAATCTCATGTTAGCCGAGCGATGTTATTGTGCATTAGGTGAGAAAATGAATATTATTTACAAGCTAAAAAGCCTCTTTCACTTTCAATTTCAGGAGATGTAGCTTCAGCTCATTTTCTTCAAGAAACCATCCAGCTAGGCCAAGATCTTTTTGAAAAAGACGAAAACCCTAGCAACTCGCCGCAGATATGGGCAAGATTGTCCATTTTTAATGGTGATTTAAATACTGCTGAGAATATTTACTTGGAACAAGGAGATATCGAGAGTGCCTTGGAAATGTACAAAAAGTTACACAAGTGGAATGATGTTTTAAGGTATATAAATTATGTTTCCCAAACCCAATGACTATTTCCGTCTGGAAAATGTTTTCTAGACTCGCCGAACAACGAGGATATGATCAATTGGACGAGTTAAGAAAGGAATACATGTCGATGCTAATGAGTACTAGTCAATACGAGAAAGTGGGACAAGCCTTGGAGGAGGAAGGCCGAAGCCAGGAGGCTCTTAATATGTATCTCAAAGCAAATAAGCTGCTGAGAATTCCTCATCTACTTTCAGACAATCCGTCTTTGTTAAATGACCAAGCCATTGTAGGCAATGTTTTAAAAAGTTTGCTTAGACAAGAACTATATGAGCCTGCCGCAAATATCTACGAGAAGTTGGATAAGAACGACCTTGCAATGGAGTGTTACAGAAAAGGTAAGGTTTTTAACATGAAACTGAAAATTTCTCTAAAAAGTGTTTAAATTGTTAGGGCTAGCTTATATTTCTGCTATTTTCTAAACGCCTGTTATTAATTAAACTTCGTTTGTTAATTCAGGGAAATTGTGGGGAAAAGCAGTAGACTTAGCTAGATCCGTTAGTCCAGAACAAGTTGTCCAGTTGGAAGAAGAATGGGGCGATAGTTTAGTAGAAAAGTAGGTATAGTTTATACACATATTAGCTGCAAATTTGGCATTTCATTATCAATTTCAAACTTCTTGAATATTATTTATTTGCGTTTTCAGTAAGCAAATGGATGCAGCCATCAACCACTACATAGAAGCTGGATGTACGATTAAAGCTTTAGATGCGGCTGTAAGTGCGCGTCAGTGGAAAAAAGCTGTTCACATTATCAAAGTAATTGATGACGTGGAAACTGTGAAAACTTACTATAATACGATTGCAAGTTACTTTGCTGGCAACAAAGTATGATTATGTATTTACCTGCAGATAATACATTTTATAGCTTGTCTACATGTTTTCTAGGATTATTCAATAGCTGAAAAATTGTACGTTGCGTGCGGAATGTATAAAGAGGCCGTGGATATGTATAATGAAGCGGGGCAGTGGGATAAAGCTCACATTATTGCTTCAAAATATTTGGACCCGGATGAAGTATCTGAAATGTATATCAGCAGGTCGGTTTGATAGTACTTTAAGCAGATTATTTAGCCGCAATTACTTTAATAATTGGAAAATTATGTACTATTCCCTTTAATTTAGAGCTGAAGAACAAGAGGAGGCAGGCAAGCTTCGTGAAGCTGAAAAGTTGTATCTGTCGGTAAATTCCCCTGATTTGGCAATCGCCATGTATAAAAGAATGGAACAATATGATAATATGGTAAGAGATTTTCGATTATCGAATAACGTTAATAATACTACATCCAATAAATTAAAAAAGAAACGTTTTAAAACAGTCAAAGTCAAAAATCACCTTATACTCAATTCGATTTTTATGTAATTTATACAAAAAAATTGTGTTATAGTTTTCGCTTAAGTTTAAATAAATCGTTGAAATGAACCTTGCCATACTCAGAAAAGTCGAAATGTAAGATATAATGTACATACTATCAAGCCCTATACATCACTGTAAGTAAACCTTAATGGTTAAGTTTTTTAACTTAAATTTATTTATACAGATCCGCTTGGTGGAAAGATATCACCCTAATCTGCTGCAAACAACTCATCTGCATTTGGGCCAACAATTAGAAAGTCAGGGAAAACATCGCGCTGCAGAAATCCATTATTTAGCCTGCGGAGAATGGAAAGCAGCTATGAATATGTACAGGTAAAAACAATCAAATTTCGTAACGAGCCACTAAATGGAATGTATTAAAATTTATCCATCTTGGAAGGCAATAACGGTTTAAACTATAAGAACAATTATTCTGGATATGCAAATAATTTGATTTTGAAGATATCTAGAGATAATTTTCAAAGTTGATTACATTCGCTTTTCAAGCGAAAATCAAAATAGGTATAAAACATATTGGTTCATCCATATTACGATTACATATATGTATATCTCTGAATTGTCCATAGCTACTTGCAAGCTCATCATTAATATTCGGTTATATTAGTACAATCATAACAAGTACTAAAATAAAACAGATATGATACAATTTTAGGACATTAAACATGTGGGAAGAAGCTTACAGAGTGGCTAAGCAAAACGGAGGCAGAACCGCAGCAAACCAAGTAGCGTTTCTATGGTCTAGAACCTTGCCTATCGACTCTGCTATAAAGCTTTTAAATAAATACGGCATTCTTGAACCTTGCATTAACTATGCTTGCGAAACCTACCAATTCGAGTTTGCGTTTCAACTATGCAAAGAGCTTCCCAGCAAGGTAAAACTTCACAAAATCGAAAATCTTGAGCTGACGTTAGAAACTGTAGATCTCGGAAGTTCATTATAAATACGCCATGGCGTTGGAAGACGATGGTAAATTTGCGGAAGCAGAAACCGAATTTGTGCTAGCCGACAAACCTAAAGAGGCAGTTTTAATGTATGTACATGCTCAAAACTGGATAGCTGCACTTAGAGTAGCCGAATCTCACGACCCAACAACAGTTCCTGAAGTACTTCAAGCACAAGCCGCTCAGTCTTTTAAGGAAAAGCAATATAGTGAGTTTGAAGTGCTTTTATTAAGAGCCCAAATGCCAGAAATGATTGTACAGAAGTACAAGTCAGCAGGTACGAACCACAACTATTGCTTTTAAGTGTAAATATTACATAGATGTTGATAATTTTTGAAGATATGTGGATAGATGCACTTAGGGTTTGCAAGGACTACTTGCCTCATCTTTACCCTAATCTGCAGTCTGAATACAGCAGTTCACACCATCATAAATCTACTGACGCCAATATTGAAGTGCTGCTGTCCAGCGCCAACGAATGGGCTCTGGCAGGTCAACATAAGCAAGCAATTGAATGTCTTTTGCAAGTCAACACTTCAATCACAGAACCATCTATTGTAAAACGAGCTCTTTTGCGGGCAGCTGATATGGTGAACAAGTTTCTATTCGGACAAGATGCTATGGAAGTTATCAAAGCTTTATCGCCCAGGTGCTTTTATCTGTTCTCTTTTAAACGTGTATGTAGGTTTACAGTAAAACTCAGAGTCTCAATTATATTTCCAGGTTAATAGAAATGGGAGAACATTCGGCTGCAGCTCAGTTGTACATAAGCATGGAATTAATGAAAGAAGCCATAGATACGTTTATCGCGGCTGAGGATTGGAGCAGAGCTAGGAAAGTTGCAAAAGAACTCGAACCAGCTTATGAAAGCTATGTGGAAAGTAAATACAAAGATCGACTTTTAAAGAAAGGGGACGTTGAACAACTTGCTGATGTCGGTAAGTCTTGTAATCCGACTTAAAAAAATTAAAGGTTTTTTGCAAAACCAATTTTCAGACATTATTGGAGCCCTAGATCTTCTAGCTGAACAAGGTCAATGGGTAAGATGCATCGAAAAAGCAAAAGCACACAATGCAGTGCCTATTCTGCATAAATATATTGCCTTATATGCTGCAAAACTGTTAAAAGATGGGTTTGTGACAGAAGCATTAAATTTGTATTCAACTCACGGTGCTCCTGCTATGCTTCAAAATTTCAACATCTATAATCACATAGCTACGGAATTGTTTGGACTATTTGATTTATCGGGACCAGATGCGTACGAAACCTGGGAAAAACTACTCCAAATGCTATTTGAGATTGTAAGTAGTGATGGTTTACCTGCAATAAAGAACTTTGACCAGAATGTACTACTTTAGAATGAAGGACTAGCAGTAGCTCCTAATATTAACAAAGAGACGAAATTGCATTTTACGCAGCTTTTACTTATATCGCACTATTATGCGCTCCGTTGCGCTTGCCGCCAAACGACAACACTTAAATCTATAGGAATCAAGATTAGTGCGGCGCTGTTGAGATATACAGACATTATTCCCGCAGATAAAGCGTATTATGAAGCGGGTATGTATCTAATTTAATATTATAATGTAATTAAATATTCAAAGTCTTGACGGGTCGCCAGATGGATCTATCGATAATAAAATATTTTTACTTATCCACCAACCTCCCTTTTCGAGAGAGACCGTCCGCTCATCTTATATAAAAAAAAACCGCTTATTCTACAAAAATCGACGACATATATGCACTACACTTAAAAGGACGCTATAATAAATCATCCAAATTAATGCATGATGGTGAGTCTTTACCACTGCTCAGACACCGGGTGTATCCTGAAAGTTTTCGATACGTATAATTTTGTTAATGTATTGATTTATAAAAAGTAATGAACGATTTGATTTCACTCTTATATCTATTAGGCAAAGATTTTAAAGACGACGGAAGAACCTCTGAAGCCTTTGTGTTTCTCAATCATTACTTAGACTTGTGCGAGGCCATTGAAGAAGGTGAGGGTCAACTAGTAGATCATTCAGATCTGGTGCAAACCGATTTTCCTTCTAATATTCCGATCCCTTCGCGGTTATATCTTGCCGAGGATCCGAAAGAGCATGATAATATTAGAGAATGGGTATTGGCGATAAGCATGGATCAAAAAGTTGATCAGGTAATTTTATTCTTTAAAGATGTAAATGGGCATTCTATTAAATTACATTCGTTTATAAATAGGTTTTACCGATTGATGAGAGGCAACTCTACGAGAGTTCATTACAACCAGGTGACCTACCATGTTTGGTCACAGGCTATCCGATCAAGAAGCAAAGTGTTTCTTTTTCCAAGTCTAAATTTCAAGTTAATAAAGACGCTTGGGCTAAATTGAATATGGGATCTAAAATGGCACCTGATTCTAATGTCCCAAGTGTGATTAGTTTTATTCAGAAGTGGTGCGGTCCCACAAGTAATTAAGTTTAAGTTCCCGAAAACACCAGAAGCATAATGCCGCAGTGAAATATCGAAAAGTATCAAAATAAAACTCAGTTCACCAGTAACAGTTTTATTAGAACCAACAGATTTTCAAATAAGTCATAATCGAATATAGTGCTCCAATAAAATTATGCATTCCCTTTCAGTCTAAATTCAAAGGACACTCTTAATATTAGTTATACGCATTTCAAACTGATTTCGTTAAAATATACTTAGATATAACATATCTGGTGCAAACTATTAGCACATATTCAATAATCACATCAATTTAGTCAAATATTTTATGTAATTTGGATTCGGTATATCAAATGTTGGACTTGATAGCACTCTGATGTTCAAATCCAAATCGTGGACACACAAAACTATACGCACTGACTATTGTGAAGCAAACGTGAGGAATTACTCTTTCTACTTAGATACGTTTACGATAATTTCTGTGTTATTTTACCCCTTAATCGATAGATTATTAAATGTCCTAGCAAAGCAAAACTGGATCTCATTAATTATGATTTAAATATGTAGTAGAGCTGAGTCAAACAATGCAAAAGAAATGTACAAATATTGCCTTGTCTGGGGAGGTAAAATATGAGTGAAATTTATTTTTCTTTGTAACATATAAAAAAAATTTCGTTTATCAATAAACATATCCATCACCAGTCATTATGAGGCAATTGGATACAGAGATACCACGTTAATGTACATTTTAAACGGTTATACTCAAAGTATATTTTTTTAACTAGCAACAAGAAACTTAGGACAAACTGCACCAATAATACATTTTTGTGAAACATAATTATCGAACCAAATAATCAAATCAAACATTCGAAATAGGTTCAAACGCTTCATATCAATGTTAGCCAATAAAGTCTTAGACATATTGCTTTAATGGCGAGTGCTTTATTTATTTTAAAACGTTTAAAGTCATATTTAGGCGTAAGTAGGGAACTGATTAAAGTTATTTTTACAATGACTGTTCCTGCAAATCGTTAATGGCGATACATAACAAGCACTTATTCACAACAGCATATATTCACTCCTAAAAACGTTTATCTTAATTTGATAAATCGCCTTCCAGTAAAAGTGATACAATTGAAAAATATGTACCTCTCACACGGTTTTTAATGGCATATTATGTACACTAGATTGGAATTATTATTTAAGTAATGAAAGGTACAAAATAACTAAAAACATGTTTTACTTTAATAGGTTCAGCTTTTTTGTATCGGAAATATCATTTATGAAATGAAATCTTATACAACTTTGAGTGTTTATACTTATAGGTGCATATGTAGAAACATCAAGTTTTAGGTTTGATATTCGTGATTTTCCCATACAGACTTTAAATTATAACGGAAAAAACTCACGTTTGAACCTATTCTTCAACTTACAACATACTTGTTTTACTGCATAAACAGGTTCTCTGCCGACGGAAGAGGGGCTAATCCATGAGTCACATTAGGCAGCTGTGTAAGATCTGGTAAATTTTGAACATGTGACTGCAATTCTTGTCTCACTGTGTATATTTTGGATAACGTTTCTTGGTATTCCTAATTTTGAGAAGAAACATGAAATTTTGAAAAATGTTTAAACTTAAAATTGACTTCAATTACCTCTAAACTTCTCTCAGCTTGAGTTAATAACTCGTCTTGGGCCAACAAAAAATCGCGCATCATAATTGCAACTTTTTTCCTATGTTCCATTTCACTAGATAGTCTTGTATTATATTGACTCAGCAACAGCACGGCATTAGTTACTTGTACATTCAATTTTTCGGCGGTTTCCCGATCTATAACAACACGTACATAGTTACTAGACTTATATTCCAAAGCCTATTTACTTAACACTTTACCTTCTATTTTGGCTACTACTGACATGTCAGACAGCTCTTTGGGTAAATTTGCAATTTTTTCCCGAACCTTTTCGTCCGAAGATGCAATATTCATTTCCAAATCTTGAATTGCTTTAATTATTTCCTCCGGTTCAGGAGGATCACCTGGAGGTGTGTGAGGGCTCAAATGAACATGCGTTTCTAATGTACCGTCAACCTAAAATTAAATAGAATATGCTCAACAAACAATTAGATAACGTACATATATTAATAACAGTTAATTATTTCAAATTTTTATTGTATAAATTGATTTACAACAAAAAACTTAAGTGCATTAATATTGATAAATACCTCCACTGTCACTTGCTTGTCCTTTTTTTTTGAATCACTAATTTTGATCTTTTTGGATGGAGGTTGATCGTCCTTTCCCAACACTGTAAAAGTAATTATTATAAGTGGTAATTTAAGTATCAACTACATTATGGTTACAAGTATCAGAAGGTCGAGTAAGCATAGTTGTAGTACAACTAACGATATACGTGTAGCATTATTAGAACCCAAACCCCTGCTCTATTATGAATAAACCGTATAAACAATTCTTGTAAAGGCGTTTTGAACGATTAATACATGAATACACAAATATACCTGTGGCTTTTATTCCACGATTTTTTGAGAGTGCATGCAGCAGCATCAAAAAGGAATATGGTGCTCTTGCACAAGTGTTTACAATTTTCAACAACAGAGTTACATAAAAAATATGATTTATTTGGTAAAAACAAAAGTAAACCAGATTTTTTGTGTATTAGCAGACGTGCTAAAATTGGTTTAATGGCAGTATACATGTTCAATCGTTATCAACCTAATATTTAGACAAAGTTACTTCTATTGGTAAGTATTGTAGGATGGAACTGCTTAGAAAAGTCATATCGGATCATTCCTTCCATTTCAAAGCTGCGACAAACATGGCCAAGGAGAGATGAAATCGACAGAATCGTCAAACAAGGAATCTTCAATATATGTAATGCTTGGAAAAAAGCCTCCAATGAAGCCTGCAGAAAGCCTGACTGGCAAAATATTATGCATCGCATAGCGAACGACTCAATCGATGGGAATGAAGCTGAGCATCTGATTGCTTTGAGTCAATTGCGGCGAAATTTGATTTCCTTGGGGGAAGAAGTACGAGACGTTCTTTAAGGTTCTTAGTGGGCAGAGTCTCACAGAGGTGGAAATCCATAATTGGATTAACCACGATGAAAATTTATTTGCACTGGAGGGCATTATGGGGAAACCCAATTGTTAACAACAACGAAGCAGTTAAAAGTTTAAATTTAAAATATTTTTAATTTAAAAAATGACTAAACCAAAATAGTGCAAAACAAGCAAAAATTACAAATTATTTTACAAATTAATACTACCTATATCATAAGTTTTTCACCCGTTCGTAAATTATACAGTATGTATTACTACTGTTATTATTACCCATAGATTGCACGCTAAATAGTGATGGCGATTTTACTTTCTCCGAGTAAAGATGGTATAAAGATCGCAACAATATACAACCCTGTCTATCTCCAAGTTTAATTTGACATTTTCTATTCCTTCTGTTTCAATTAAAATTAATGTGCCTTCTTGGTTCCTGTATAGATTAGTGAAGGCACGCACGTTCTTCTCATTGCATTTAACCTTTATCTGTGGTTCCTACTGACCCCTGGGCTCAATCAGGGGGTTTTTGGTTTGGCAAATTTAAATCGATTTTGGGGTCCACGCAAGATTTAATATAAAATTATAGAATACAACCCTTTCGCAAGTAGTCAAACTCAGAGCACAAATTCAGATGAATACATACTAAACCAGGAGCAACTTATTGAATTATCCACAAATGAAAAGCTGAAAACAAGGATACGACAATTTTTTGTTACAAAAACAGATCCCAATTTTACATCCAGGATCATGCGTTATTGTACAGAAGCTTTCGATTGCTTTCTTTTTGATTATGCATTTATGCAGTTTTTTAGCCAAATTGCGTCGGAAAGTTTGACTACGAAAAAGGGTTCGTAGGACAAAAGGGTTTGCAAACCACTCCTCTATAAGAACACTTATTAACTGTACCCGTTTTACTCTGTTAAATACTTTTTCATATGCAACATTGAGGTGAAACATGGAGTCCAGTACACCTGAGGTGCCAGAACCGAACGCAAACTGAGATTTTGAGTATAACTTTAAGCTACAGTTTACTTTTGTGGCTCATATATCTTAAGTATAGTTATTAAATTTCTTTGCTTTCTTCTTCTGTAAATGAATGATATTTATTTTCTATTCCGTATAGTATGCAAAACAATTCATTATTTCTTGAAGAGATATTAAGTATCCAACTTGAACAGTTGAACCCGACGCTATTTTTTGGCATTGAAAAAGCTTCTATGATTTAGCCTCTTTTAGTGAAGATTATTTGTCCCGAATCGCGTATATTTCATATCAACTATTAATGGCCTTAAAAGTATTAACAATAAAACATAGAGGCAAGGAGGCAAGGAACATTAGTCATACTGAACAAGTTACCATGCAACTTACATAGAGCTCTCTTAAATTCCATGATTTGGACTGAACTGTATATTTCCCGGTCTTGCCAAATAGTCAATACTCTATCCAATCCATTTTTCGTCTTTTCATCACATTGGGAGATATTTTCAAAGGCTTTCTTGAGCTGCGTGCCGAATTCGTTTCCATATTCAGGACCCTTCTTTCTACTGTTCTGAATTACATCATTAGCCAAGTACATGAACGTTAGTTTCTTAGTATCTTTGGCTGTAAAGGTAAAAGTGTGTGTTTTAATACACTGGATCTATAGGACCTATAATAATCTGCTTACCTTTTACAAGTTCTCGCAGCCATATCTTCACTACACTGGTATAATGTTTCCTGTGATGAATAAGCCACAAAGATAGAGTCTGAATGCTTTGCGAGGAGTTATTAAGCTCCATTAATTTTTTGATGAAAGCTGATTCGGTAAAACCTCCAGCCATCGTGAAAAATCGGGCTTTTCTGGAATTTGATCACTGTAAACACACCATATAACATAACCATACAAACGTGGCTCGATGCTATTATTTCAATTGCGGCGCTCTCGTAAACTGATTAAATGTGTGTATTTACTAAGAAAGGCCAGTATATTTGGAGCACTCTGCAAGAAAGACTGGGTAAGTTTTCCTACACAAACTAAATGAAAACTGAGATAATGACTGTGGAAAATCAAAATATATGTATGGTTTGAGGCAGTTGTTATACACAAAAATGACAGTAGACATTTGAACGTACCCTCACATATGGTCGGGACATCTATTAGCAATATACAGTAACACATCAGACAAGGATTATAAAATAGTATTTAAGCATAATTTAAATAAATTATATTTTCTGCATTAATATAGGAGCTGATGAAAAAAATTCATATTTAGAACCTATAATTAAACTAGAAAATTACCATAATTAATAATTTTGCCCGTCTAGACCTATTGCTGAAGCACATGATTCTGAGTAAAACTAATGTACATTGTTTACCTACTAATTAGAATGTTGTTACTTACTATTTATGTATACAATTTAGGTTTACTTCCTCCTAGTACTACTTTTTTTAAACTTATAAATCAAGTTCTTTATTATTTCCACACAAAAAGCTTATATTAAACATGCGACGAAGCTTGAAAATGACTGTCTTTTCGGGAACATGCATGTTCAGTACTCAGAATCCATAAAATCCATAGAATACAGTTATATTTTACTACACCTTAGCAGTAAATACTATGTGCACCTCTGCTTCGCAAATTTTCCTTCTTATTCAAAACTAAATCAAGCATATAGTTTTCCAAAAGTATTACTCATTAAGTCGTTTTCAGCAAGTGCTAAGATGCAGGGATCCCTTTCACCAGTACGAAACATGTATAAACATACAGGGTGTTTCGGGAGAAAAGAACAATGTTTTGGGATTGCGGTCAGGAGGTCAAAATGAGATAAATGGACCCATATATGGTTTAATCCGATTCTTAACTGTTTCTGAAGTTAAGCTGTTTTTTTATATTTAACATTAGTTTGCAGATATTTAATTGTTTGTCAATAGGTACCTAATTTGATTGAGTATGCCGATATCACGATATCATCAAGTTTTTCAACAAGTACCTTAGTATTTGGTGAGTAAGTTAAGTGAAGCCGGTTTTAAACATATTTTTATACAATTTTCGGAGAGTTGAAAAAGGGACTCTATAAGTTTTTGAAAGTCGTATTATAAGTAAAATGATTTGCTTCGACATGAGCAGGTCAAGTTCCTTTTTTTAATTTTAAGTAAACAATTCAGAGTTATCGATAAAAACCATTGAATTGAAATTGAAAAACGGTTGGACACAAAATACCATTTTTCAAAAAAATAATTAAAAGTGTGTTGGCGCTTCTTTAAATTTTCATTTTCCTTCAAATCTCAAGGTTTTTTCCATATTTACAATTTATTTCAGGCATGCAGAGGTCGTCAAAATTGGTCTTTTTGAAAATCCACTAAGTAGAATTGAGTGAAATTAGGGTAATAAGTAGGTCTAGGAAAAAGTTTCTAAAACAAATACCTGTCGAAATGGAGCTAATTTTTTAGTAGAAAAGCGCGATAACACAATCATATTGAATCTAAATGTGTGAGCTGATAATGGAAATGAATATACAGAACTCATATTTCAAAATAACTACAATATACCTGTTTAAACTTTCACCTTAACTAACCGAACTGTGGGTTTTGGACAATTGATAATCTTGCATTTTTTCTCAAGCTGCATTTTTCATTTCAATTCGTTTTATAAAATGTTCTTATAAAAAATATTCTTTTCTAATTCTAATTCTTAATTTCCTGACCACTATCTTTATCTTGTTAGTTTTTTTTTACACTTTCTTTTATCAGTGTATTTCCTATAAAAAGTAGAAGAATGGATATTTTATGTATGACCCCATGGGGTCTGGTGCACCAGTTCAATCCCCTCTTTAATTTGTCACTTTATAGTGAATAAATAGGTACTTTCTATTTTATACTCTGTGCAATCAGAACAATTTAATAAAATAACGCATTTACTCTTTTCTTTAAAGGTTACTTTCTAAAACAATAAAATCACTCGTAATAAAGCAATATGTGTTTTATATTTATTTAAATAAATTCAATACAAAAAGATCATAAACATATACCATATTCCTATACCTACCCTAATATTATATGTATATTATAATAAATAAGGTTGAATGCAAAAATTAACTCATTTCCAAGACATTGCATTTTCTGCTTTACAAATATAATCATATAAATCGTTTATGTCTACGACGCCCAATGGTTTCTCGCCTTTTGAATGACCTGAAATTGTAAATAAATTTTATAGTTTGTAACAGAACCTGGTACCAAATAAACTTACCGCAACTTTCAGTGATGATTACATAGCTGTCTTTTTCTAGAATTCTGGATATTAGTCCAAGACGCCCAGTATTGCAATTTATTTTAGGAAATATTCGTAGAGTACAGTTTTCAATTTTCTGAGTGGGAAGCACATTTTTCGCCAATATATTGTTAATTAAATGGCTCTTTGTAACTGTGCCCAATATATTCCTGAAAGAAAAAATTCAATAAAAATAAACCACTCTCGAAAGGAGTCGAAAATAATTAATTCTGGCAAAGTAATAGACATGTACGGACAATAAACATCATATTTGTCTTACAAAAATTCTTGAACTTCAATTAAGAATATGTAAGAATAATATCTTCAGATTCTACTGAGTGTTTACTTCTGCGTTATTTGTCTGAGTGCATTCTACTTCGCTAATTTACCCTGTATATTTATATATTTACCCATCCGGTTTTAACACTGCTACTTGATCAACATTAAGTTTCCTCATTATCGCCAATACGTTGTCACAAGTTTCATTGCTGGGCAATGTGTCAATTTTTCTGAATTTTACTTTGGAAACTGCGTTTTCCCACCACCTGCAACAAAAACATATTCGAATTTAATTTATAAATTGTATATACTTTCCTGACTGTGTTTCAATTGCAAATC